GCCCCAGCGAAGCTGTTACTCACCAAGACAGCCACGGACGTGTACCCATGACAAAAAAATGTCGAATCATGTTTATGCACAAAAATAACAAACAAAAATAACAAACCAACAAGCTCCCCTGAAGGAGATGTTGCTTATGCCTATCAGGAAAGGTAATTCCAAAGCTACTCCTTAATGCCCCACACCAGGAACAAACTGTCTACACAATCAATGCAAACAAATCAAGTAAACAACTATCACCTGGTTCTTGGATTGGACGAGCCCCCATATATTACAAGCTGGCTCTGCTTATAACATAAGGACAACAGTTCCACACCGGAGTTGCCCAAAACAATCATTTATTTTATGCAACACAGTGGTTACAAACAACAATAAAACAGAACAAAGGAGCGGTGTCCTGCTGCACCGAGCAGGGCAGCTGAGAGCACGAGAGCCTGTTCTGCAGCCCTTTTATATCCTGGAATCAGCGCCACAGGTGGGTCCCATCACTGCTGATTACAACAAACACACAGGTTACAGCAGCACCAACTGGTGGACAACCACAGGGTTGTCACAATGGGGTAAAAACCACCAATGAGCGCTCAGCTCGAGATACCAGCGAGTCGTTTCCCATCAAGCATTTAGCTTCCGCAGCCCGTGGAGAGGAACTGCGCCGCCTCGCTCTCAAGGCTCATAACATCAGCTTTTAATGTTCCTCTTGGATGTTCTTCTCGACCCTCAGAGAAGGAGAACATGTCGTGTCTTTCAGGCATGTCCTTTCCTAACAAAAATGACAGGAAACATAAAACATATTATTGCAGAACAAGTGTGTTATTTATGAAAGCGGTGTGTTTGTGTGTTTAGGGGCTGTAGATATCATTATTTTGTAATTGTAATGTTTTTTTTTTATTTCAACAATGAGCTACAAAGACAATCAGATTATGAATGAACAGTATGAAGTTCATCAACATTGAAATATATGTTATTATCAAAATAATATTTAACTGTTATCAAAACGTAGTGCAACTGTAGAAGCTTGCTCTGTTGTCTCACTGAAAGAATCACTTTTACCACGTTTTTTACAGACAATATTCAGAGATAAATAGTAGCAGTTCTCACTATGTGTTAAATATCTTTGCATTCAATACATTCAATTAGAAAGCTGACAAAGTCATAGTGCTTGTTAACATCTAAATGTAACTTTTAGCATAGAAAAACCCCTCAACTTAACTGATGTGTAGGTGATCTAGTATTTAGTATTGTTTAATGGAATGTATATATTTTTCACTAACCGACGTGTTTATGATGCGCCAGCGGACGTCATGAATGTGCGTCTGCTGCTGTGGGGAAACTATGGAAACTACAGTTTTCTATACAGCGGACTACAACATGGATGTTAATAAGAACGAGGGACTACTGTAAACTCATCTAGAGACTTTGCACCGTGCTCTGATGCTGTTGCTTTATGCTTTATGAACGGGGACAACAGAGAAACATATTCTTCATGACCAAAGTTGGAATTGAAATAAAAAAGGAAAGTGAAACTTATGCTCGTCCCCCTCTCCCTCCGGTCCACATTAATACAAATGATCCCAATACGTATGATTGTATGAACTATGAAAAGATCTTAAAATAAATACAAATGTATTTATTATAAACGTTAGTCCTTAACATCTATCACTGTGTATATCACCATTCAAACATCTTTTAAAAGTTGAACAACCCCACACAGCTCAGTAAAGACTGTGAAATGTTGACTTTATTTGATAATTTCAGTAAAAACTAACGTTCATATTTCTCTTTTTGATTATAATACTGATGAACGTTCAAAACAAAGCACTTTGGCAACTTACCACATACGTTTTAAAATGCTCAATAAGCACCGTAACTTTCATGATATAATTTATCCGTCATAATCGGTTGTTTTCGTGAACGGCCGACTGTTGAGTGACGGCAAATGCTGCGGCTGCAATGCATTGTGGGGCAGCATTTTCTCCTCTCCTTTCGTCAAGGGAGGTCCAGTGGTTCCTAAGCTAAAGGAGGTTATAAAGGAAGTTTGAAACCTCCTTTCCTTTCATTTAGAGAATTGGAACGGCACTTAACATGGCTGCCACTGAGGTACTTCCGGGTCATTTCACTTGGTTAGGAAGGTTCCTAAGCTAAATTACGGTGGCCCTGAAGTGCAAGACACCACAGCATTTCACAAAACGCAACAGCATTTCACAAAACACAACAGCATTTCACAAAACACAACAGCATTTCACAAAACACCACAGCATTTCACAAAACGCGGCAGCATTTCACAAAACACCACAGCATTTCAGAAAACACCACAGCATTTCACATTGGACGGAAAGGGTATTCCTTAGGGAGAACACTTCTTGTTTGTGATTGGACAGAGCCAGCCATAGAAGCACTGCTGTGATTGGTTGTTTTTGCTGCCAGTCAAGAAATGACGCTTCGTGATTGGCCCAACACATCAGCCGTTAGCTGTTAACACACACTCAGAGCTCACAGCTCCTCATATCTGTTCAGAAACTGGACAAAAGTTCAACATATACAAAACACAGACTGTCTATGTCATGGTGAATACAGTCGCTGCTTTATTTATGTCTGTATTACGTTGTTGTGAGTGTGGACGGAGCAGCTACAGGTTAGTTTAGCCTGATCGATCCGATTCCGATATGATTTACATGGAGATACGGCCCGCCCCCTCTCCAGCGTCTTGTTTGAATGACAGGAGTAAACACAGAATTAATGCTTTATTAATTCATGGTTTTTAAGGGGATTATCTCCATGTAAATACTATGGTAGACCACCCAATATTCGCATCGCTCTAATCGCTCGAGTTTCACCGCGGCTGTCAGCTGTGTTTGCTCCTGTCATTCAAACAAGAGGTGCTGAGAGGGGGCGGAGCGTATCTCCAAGTAAATCCTATGGTAGATACCAACTACAACAAAATGAACATATTTGACCGTGATTTAATTGTAATACACGTTTCAAAGTGATGCCGAAGTAACTACATAACGGTTAGTAAAAACCATGAATTAACGCTTTGACAAGTCTGCAGATAAGACGGCAGGCGAAAAGCTTTTAAAATGCGTGTTTTCTGAATGGAATCGGATCCATCAGGCTAAACTAACCTGTTGCTGCTCCGTCCACACTCACAACAACGTCATACAGACATAAATAAAGCAGCGACTGTATTCACCATGACATAGACAGTCTGTGGTTTGTACATGTTTAACTTTTGTCCAGTTTCTGAACAGATATGAGGAGCTGTGAGCTCTGAGTGTGTGCTAACGGCTGATGTGTTGGGACATATTTCGCTGTCGGGTGTTGACCAATCACAAAGCGTCATTTCTTGACTGGCAGCTAAAACAACCAATCACAGCAGTGCTTCTCTGGCTGGCTCTGTCCAATCACAAACAAGAAGTGTTCTCCCTAAAGGAATACCCTTTCCGTCCAATGTGAAATGCTGTGGTGTTTTCTGAAATGCTGTGGTGTTTTCTGAAATGCTGTGGTGTTTTGTGAAATGCTGTAGTGTTTTGTGAAATGCTGTGGCGTTTTGTGAAATGCTGTAGTGTTTTGTGAAATGCTGTAGTGTTTTGTGAAATGCTGTAGTGTTTTGTGAAATGCTGTAGTGTTTTGTGAAATGCTGTGGTGTTTTGTGAAATGCTGTTGTGTTTTGTGAAATGCTGTAGTGTTTTGTGAAATGCTGTGGTGTTTTGTGAAATGCTGTGGTGTTTTGTGAAATGCTGTGGCGTTTTATGAAATGCTGTGGTGTTTTGTGAAATGCTGTGGTGTTTTCTGAAATGCTGTTGTGTTTTGTGAAATGCTGTAGTGTTTTGTGAAATGCTGTGGTGTTTTCTGAAATGCTGTTGTGTTTTGTGAAATGCTGTAGTGTTTTGTGAAATGCTGTGGCGTTTTGTGAAATGCTGTAGTGTTTTGTGAAATGCTGTAGTGTTTTGTGAAATGCTGTAGTGTTTTGTGAAATGCTGTAGTGTTTTGTGAAATGCTGTAGTGTTTTGTGAAATGCTGTTGTGTTTTGTGAAATGCTGTAGTGTTTTGTGAAATGCTGTGGTGTTTTGTGAAATGCTGTGGTGTTTTGTGAAATGCTGTGGCGTTTTATGAAATGCTGTGGTGTTTTGTGAAATGCTGTGGTGTTTTGTGAAATGCTGTGGCGTTTTATGAAATGCTGTAGTGTTTTGTGAAATGCTGTTGTGTTTTGTGAAATGCTGTGGCGTTTTGTGAAATGCTGTAGTGTTTTGTGAAATGCTGTAGTGTTTTGTGAAATGCTGTGGTGTTTTGTGAAATGCTGTTGTGTTTTGTGAAATGCTGTAGTGTTTTGTGAAATGCTGTGGTGTTTTGTGAAATGCTGTGGCGTTTTCTGAAATGCTGTGGTGTTTTGTGAAATGCTGTGGTGTTTTCTGAAATGCTGTAGTGTCTTGCACTTCAGGGCCACCGTACTAAATGGACTATTGGAACGCAACCATAATGTTATGAATGAGCGAGCTGCCTGTGGCAAGATGGCCGCCATGTGGCAAGATGTCCGCCATGTGGCAACGTCGGTCTCCATTGGCCAGCAGCGCGGGTGAGTCACCTAGGGTTTATATACATATCTATGACTTTCACTTTTCCATGGTAGCCTACTGTGAGAGGACATCACCGTATTCGCCTGTGTTACTTAATGGGAATAGGTAACTAGTAACGCTATAAGTTACAGTAACGCGTTACTTTGTAACGCGTTAGTCCCAACACTGGTTATAACAAATAAATAAATGCTATCTGTGAATCGGCTATAATCTTTGCTTCAGCTAAATCAACTTCAAACAGTCTAAACACTTGAAAAGTACTTATTGTGTACTGTATGTGCATCAGAAATATAATTATGACCCTCATCTCATTGTAATCAAATCAAACTTTATTTATATAGCAGTTTTAATACACAAAGGTGTATGAAGCAAAGTGCTCCACAAACAAAACAGACAATTTACACATAAAAACAATACTATCTCCCCCTTCCCAGGTAATAATCAGAGTAACACATAGCTTTGGGCTAAAAAAATAACACATATACATAATAAAAAGAGATACGGAATACGATATAATTCAGTTAAAAGCTAAATTAAAAAGGTGGGTCTTGAGTTTTCTTAAAAGTGTGAAATACTTTCTGCTGCATTGTACATTTACACATTTTGGGTGCGTTCAAACTCTTTTGTGAAGAGACATTTATAGATCATAAAACACATTTGTCTATACTTCTATGCATTTATTAATATTGAGATGGATCCAGCCATACATGTTTTCAGGAGCTCTGCCATGAAAGTGGGCACCATGCAGTCTTCTTTACTTCAGCCTGCCCAAATATGAACGTGATCTTCCTACTTGTGTCAAAATAAATGTCAGCTCTTCACCACAGACACAGCATTTAGGGTTTGGAGAGCAGATACTTATCTCAGGAAGTCATGATTCAAAATGGTGAATTTTGAAAGTTGAACATTTTGTTTTCTATTTAACCTGCAGTTTAGTTTTCCTTACACAGACATACATCTCAAAGGAATCATTTTAGACATCATTACAAGCATAATGGCACATGAACAGAAACTGCTTTAAACTGTAAAATGAGTGTCTGCTCCTCAATAGATTCTGCCTACTCTCCTCCTGTATATGATTATGCACCGCATACACCTTTAAATATTTTAAGTAAAAAAAACAAATGTGCATCATTTTTGGTAAAAATATGCAAACGAATATAATCAAACTACAGTCAAAGAGACATTGAATAAAAGCAATCCCTGTGTTCCCTCCAGTGTGGGAGAGAAACTCCCTCTGGAGGGAATACAGGGATTCTATTTATTTAAAATCCAATAGAACACACCCAAAAAGCAGAATAGGGCCTCTTTAAGAACGACAGCGTGTCAACATTAACACAAGTTGATAAATATTTGCAAAGGGCATTTGCAAATGACCTTGCCCTAAACACACATGGCTGTGTGTTGTGTGAGCGCTGCACCTCCGTGTGTCTCACTCTCCGGTGAAGGTGGGGTTGCTCACCGTGGTGGTGGCCGTCTGGAACAGAGGGTTGTCAGCCTGGCAACACACAAATCAAAATGCTTAGTTTCTTTCGTCTATGTTGTTTTTTAAGTCATTATGTTTTCAGGTATTCTGTGTGTCTCTTAAACACTTCTCAATAATTCATACGCTAATGAAGATAATTTCACACAAATGATACAATCATTTTTAATATAATAACATCTGAAATAAAGGGATATTTTCTTTAACACTAAAGTTTAAGTTTTAAAATCATATGAAACAAGCAAATACAAATTCCACACAGTCCCATTGATGCTTTTAAACAGCGCACACCACCACACAGAAGGAATACAAATTCTCAAACAACTTCTGGTAAATAATAATTAGTGTGCTTTCTAATGTTTTCAGTCTGCTGTTGAGTTTCATTGCATGGCATTAACAAGTTTTGAGTCAGCTCTTATATTGATATTTCATAAGAGTGGTAAAATAAATATTTATGTAAACTCATCAATATCCATGCCTTACCTTTTTTTCTGCAACAGCTGTGGGTCAATAGATGTATCAATCAATCAATCAATGTTTATTTATATAGCCCAATATCACAAATGTTACATTTGTCTCATGCCCCGGCCACACGAGGACGAAAACGGTCGTTTGCGTTACTGTTTAGTGTCATATAGACCGTTCGGCCACACGAGGACGACCGAATACAGCACTAAACGACTGCGGAAATGATAACGGGTCCCAAGGTGGATAGAACGGCATACGCAACGCTCTGGGGGGTCCAACAGCTCCGTCTGTACGCCCTATACGATCATTTTCTGATAATGATGAGGCAATAGCCCCGCCTCTCCCCACCTCTGCTGCTCACCCCCGCGTCAAAGTAAACTGCACACTGAATTCAGATTATTTATCTTTCTCTCGATATGGACATAAACGCGAGTGAAGTCTAATCTGACAGGACGGAGACACCTCTCAAACTACCTAAACTAGTTATAAATATGTTTAATTTTACTGTCGGCCGGGTCACTCATTACTGGATAAGCTGCTGCATGAAACAGACACTGGCGCTGTCCGAAGAGAGGGAGGAAAAAGAGAGGCTCCGTGTATTTTATTATTATATTATATAGAGTCGTTATTCATTTGTTTTAAAGCTCAATAAATAACAAAGAAGACCTTTGACCGGCACTTTTATAATTTTGTCGGAAGATTTAAACTTTAATACACGTTGACTGGCGAAAAACTCTGCCCGGTTCCCTCGGCCCCCACCGCGGAGAATAAACAGAAGGGCATCCATGACAACCATGCTTCTTCGCTGCTTTTGTGGAGGAAGTTACAGCGCCACGTACAGGCTCCTGCATATGTACTGCAGCTTCTCCAGCGGTTGGAGCTAAACGGAGCTGTCTCGTGTAGACAGACACTATCCGGTGAATATTGCGTGTGGACGGAAGCTTTTTTGCGATTGCGTTTGTGTTAATCCTATGCGTTTAGCCGTTTTCGTCCTCGTGTGGCCGGGGCATCAGTGGACTTCACAGTTTGTACAGAATATCAGTATGACAATACGACACCCTCTGTCCTTAGACCCTCACATCGTACAAGGACCCACAGTTTAAAGGGAAAAATGGGAGAAACCTCAGGGAGAGCAACAGAGGAGGGATCCCTCTCCCAGGACGAACAGACGTGCAATAGATGCCGTGTGTAAATTGAAAAGATAATACATTTGCAACATAGGTATTCCAAATGTTTGGAAATGCATGTGTGTATAATAGGAAGATGAATCCACGAGGATATCCATCCAGGACTTATGATCCAGGACCACAGCCACGACTCAAGATCTAGGGCTCGCGATCCAGGACACAGGACCGGAGGATCATCCATGACTCCGGATCCCGGCGTATATAGACACCAAAAAGAAAGACATTTGGGGAAGCTGGGTTAATCGGAACATGAGAGTACACAGGTATAGACAGAGAGAAGGAAGAAGTAAGATGTCCCCCGACAAACTAAGCCTATATCAGCAAAACTAGGGGCTGAATCTAATCAGCTCCAACTATAAGCTTTATCAAAAAGGAAGGTCTTAAGCGCACTCTTAAAAACAGATAGGGTGTCTGCCGCCCGAACACAAACTGGAAGCTGATTCCACAAATGTGGAGCTTGATAAGAAAAGGCTCTGGCTCCCATTGTACTTTTAGAGACTCTAGGAACAACCAACAACCCTGCATTCTTGGAACGCAATGCCCTAGTAGGACAGTAGGGTATAATGAGTTCTTTAAGGTAAGATGGCGCCTGCCCATTAAGGGCTTTGTAGGCGAGAAGAAGAATTTAAAATTATATCCTGTGTTCTATAGGGAGCCAGTGTAAGGCAGCCAGAACAGGAGTAATGTGGTCCCTTTTCCTAACTCTGGTTAGTACACGAGCTGCAGCATTTTGAATCAGCTGAAGCGACTTGACTGACTTCTTGGTACACCCTGATAATAAGGAGTTACAATAATCCAGCCTTGAAGTAACAAATGCATGGACTAGTTTCTCTGCATCGTTTTGAGGCAAGATATGCCTGATTTTTGCAATGTTACGTAGATGGAAGTAGGCGGTCCTTGAAATTGATTTTATGTGGGCGTTAAAGGATAAATCCTGATCAAATATAACACCAAGATTCCTTACAGTCTCACTGGAGGCCAAATGAATGCCATCCATAGTTAGTATATCTTTAGATATTTTATTTCGTAGATTCTTCGGGCCAAGTACAATAACTTCAGTTTTGGTCGTGTTTAACATCAAAAAGTTTAAGGTCATCCATGTTTTTAAGTCCTTGAGGCAGTCTTGAATTGTATTTAGATGATTAATTTCATCAGGCTTGATTGATAAATATAGTTGAGTATCATCCGCATAATATTGCCGAACGGAAGCATATATAATGTGAACAAAATAGGTCCGAGCACTGAGCCCTGTGGCACTCCATGGCTAACTTTGGTTTGCGTGGAAGATTCATCATTGACACGTACAAACTGAGAGCGTTCAGATAGATAGGACCTAAACCAGCCTAAAGCAGTTCCCTGTATGCCAACTAAGTGCTCTAGTCTTTGCAATAAGATATCATGGTCGATAGTATCAAATGCAGCACTGAGATCGAGCAAAACAAGAATAGAGACAAGTCCCTTGTCTGAGGCTATTAGAATGTCATTTGTGACTTTAACCAGAGCTGTCTCTGTGCTATGATGTGTTCTAAAGCCCGACTGAAAATCTTCAAATAAATCATTGTTTTTTAAGTAATCATACAGCTGTTTTGCGACCGCTTTCTCAATATTTTTTGAGAGGAACGGAAGATTATAAATAGGTCTATAGTTGGCTAAAACCATATTCATAATATTTAATAAAGAAGTGCTAATTAATGGAAAAACTTCCTTCAACAGCTTAGTTGGAATTGGGTCTAAGATACACGTTGATGGTTTAGAAGAGAGAATCATTTAATTTAATTGTTCAAGGTTTATGGCTGAAAAGCATTCTAGTTTACTATCTAGTGTAATATAATAGTGCTATGGGAATAGAAGGCTCAATAGAGCTGTGGCTTTCTGTCAGCCTAGCTACAGTGCTGAAAAGAAATCTTGCATTATTCTTATTCTCATCTATTAATGAAGAGTAGTAGGCTGCTCTCGCTTTACGCAGTGCTTTCTTATATTCATTGAGAGTAATATGCCAAATTAAACGAGATTCTTCAAGTTTAGTGGAACGCCATATCCTTTCAAGTTGTCTCGACTTTTGCTTTATTGTGCGGGTTTCGGCATTATGCCATGGAGCTAATCTATGTTGTTTTATTTTCTTCTTTTTCAAAGGAGCAACAGAGTCTAATTTTATTCGCAGCGCATCTGTAGCACTATCAACAACATGATCAATTTGAGGTGGTGTACATTTTGTATAGGTTTCCTCCCCTACATGCAGACATGCTATCGAGTTAAGTATTGGTGGAATCTCTTCCTTAAATTTGGCTATAGCACTAACAGATAGGTTTCTGCTGCAGGAGCTTTTGACTAATGCTTTGTAGTCTCGTAACAGTACTTCAAAAGTTACTAAGAAATGGTCAGATAAAGCAGGATTATGTGGTTCGACTAATAGTTGCTCAATTTCAATACCATAAGTCAGAACAAGGTCGAGAGTGTGATTATAACAGTGGGTTGGTTTATTTACACTCTGACAGAAACCAACAGAATCTAATATAGAGTTAAATGCAACAGTAAGGCTATTTTTATCATCGTCAACATGAATATTAAAGTCACCTACGATAATTACTTTATCTGTTTTAAGAACCAAAGTTGATAAAAACTCAGAGAATTCAGATAAGAATTCTGAATAAGGACCTGGTGCACGGTACACTGTAACAAATAAGATTGGCTGCAAAGTTTTCCAGGTCGGATGCGCAAGACTAAAAATGAGACTTTCAAAGGAGGTATAATTTAATTTTGGTTTAGTATTGATAAGTGAACTTGAGTCAAAGATTGCTGCAACTCCACCTCCTCGGCCCGTGCCTCGGGCAATATGAGTATTGATATGGCTGGGTGGAGTGGCCTCATTTATGCTGACATATTCTTCATGTCTCAACCAAGTTTCAGTGAGACAGCATATATCAATATTATAATCTGATATTAAATCATTTACCAATATTGCTTTAGATGCTAGAGATCTTATGTTTAAGAGACCACATTTAATATTCCTGTTTTGTTGCACTGTAGTAGTTGTTACATTTACTTTTATTAGGTTATTATGTATGACACCTCTATTAGGTTTTACCTTAAATTGTCCTTGGGCAGACACACACACCGCTAATATTGGGTATTTTATTGGGTTCGGGATTCCTATGGATGACTGCCTAGGAGAGAGCGCATAGAAGCGTGTAAGACTGCGACTCCTCCTCCTGGTCTCAACTCCAGTTTGTCATGGATTAAGTCCACAAAGCCCTGAAATGTTTGCTGAAATGAGATTTGCACCTTCCAAAGTAGGATGAATGCCATCTCTCTTAATCAGACCAGGTTTTCCCCAGAAGGCTGTCCAATTATTTACGAAGCCCACATTGTTTGCTGGGCACCACCAAGACAACCAGTGCTGAAATGATGACATGCGCAGGGGTGCACATAACTTTTTTGCCCTGGTTCTCAAAGGAGCACCTGGAGATGTTGCTTGGTGCTCATCCTTAAAATGAAATAAACCGTAACTTTTGAGGGGGTCTTGACTTTATTTGCCAGACACACAGCACTGAACACACATGCAGAGGTGAACACAGAACACACATGCAGAGGTGAACACAAGACAACATTAGCACGACCAGTAATCCTACAAGCTGTCATCACTACCCTCCTGACTGTTCTCCTCTCTGTCTTCCTCTCTGTCAGACATGGTAGCTGATGATGTAGGCCTACTACTTTCTCTCTGGTTGAGTCTGTGATTAGCTGCTTGCAAGTCAACAGCTGGTTTTGGGTCGAAAGTCTCTGTTGTCATCTTAGACAAGTGGATGTAATCAAATAAGTATGTGAACATAACCAATAACCTACCATAGCCAATAACAAATGAATGTAACTTATTTTATTTGTGTTGTTCATTCATATCTTATTTAAATGCATTTTTTTTTTGTATGTCTCCAGTTTTAAAGGATATTTTTGGTTACTGTATGCATTGGAATTATTTCAAACCTATTTATCCCAATAATTATTTGGAGGAGTGCCTTGGAAATATGTGTTTACATAAATTGTGACCAAACTGTTTGAACTTAGACTAAAGTGAACTATCTAAACACTCAGAGTCCTTTACCTCACTGAGCTGTAGTATCAGCCTCTCAGTCTGACTGGAGAGGACTCTCCCTCCACATTATTGTAGACACATCTTCTTCTTATATCCGTTAGAGCAGCTAGCACCAGATTCTAATAACAACACCGGGCGGTGCGCCCTTCTCTCTCTCCCTCGCTCACTCGCACTTTGGCTGTGAGCTGCGGGTGCCAGATAAGCCAACATCCCCCATTTTCATCACTTACAGCGCCCATCGTACAGGGCAAATGAAACGTGTAACCGGGGTGAAAAGGGTGTTACATTTACTTAATTATGAATATTGTTACATCAAGGCCGAAAATTAGGATGAGCCCCAACGGTCAAAAATGTTTTTTTTTCCTCCCAGAACTGCCAGCGCAGCGCCTCCCCAGATCTGGGCGATCTAGGCGATCCCTAGGCGAACATCTATAACGCCAGTGCTACGGGCCGACCCTGAGTTCATATGCAACTCGCAAATATCTTTCTCTCTCCTCTCTCCTCTCTTTTCTCTTCTCCCTTCTCTCTCTCCCTCTCTCTCTCAATTTTGGTACGCAAATGCGCCTTTTTTCAAATGACCAGGTGCTCATTTTTTGGCGGAGGTGCGCATGCGCACCTGCGCACCAGTTATGTGCAGCCCTGTTTATAATCCTGAACGTCACCAAGCGCTCTGGTCCCATGGATGTATAATAAGAACTGGATACAGCGTGGGAGGCGGGGCCTCATTCATTCCTATGAGAGTTGCTCAATGGCGCATGATGACAAAATGGCCCAACTTTTGAGAGAGCGAAACGTCACAGATTACCCGGCATGCCTGAGAAGTACCCGTATGTGCACTCATAGAGCATGCGCAACTTTAACCATGCCGCCCAAAAGGCTCGTTCACAATAAGCACGTTAATTTGCGTACACGTAACAGCACCGTGCGTTCATGAGTCATGACAGCATGGTACTGGATTTATATTAACGAGGCGGCAGTTAGCAGCTAGCATCAATCGTTATGTACTTTTATATTACGCTGACATCAGGATCTAGTGATATCCAAGCAACAGAGCTTCATTTAGCATGATACTTGTGTGGGTTGTACATGAAACCACTTGGTAATATATACAAATGTATATGTTGAAGCCTGTTATGATCAATTGTGAGTTAAAACGTTATCTAAAAAGTAAAGCTGATGATGGATTACTGTGGTGGAGTTAAAATAACAATAGCCTATTTCTTTTTGAAATGTGATGGAGTAAAAGGATAGTAACTGTGATTATTCATGTTAAGTAGCCCACAAGTAACTAAAACAATTGCAAGTGCAATAAGAAGCTACAGGAACGTTAATCTACGTCGGTAATATTAACTTTATTTAATACAACATTTACGGTACAAGATTTACATCATACAGCCCATGTGGTATAATATTTTACAAATGATGAATTACAGCAAACATGTGCAATATATCCATTATTACAGCTCCGTGGGCTGGCAGTAGGGCGATATGGTCTGTTGTTATTGTGCATCCATGGGTAAAGATAAACGCATGTAGTGCTGAACACGTAACTTGAACGTGCAGGGCAGCGCGGTCCCGTGGGTTAGATGCACGTTCATAATGCAGAGGGAAATAACTCTCAGAATAACGTTATTAGCACATTTTTACAGCTTGAGGAACGAATGTTTTTAATAAGGGCTATACAAGTGTTCATACTGGGTAGTTAATTTAGTTTAAAAAAAATTATCCAACGAGTTACAGACCACTCTTTCCCCATGTAAGTCAATGGGAAAAAGTGTTTCCGGGCCCAGCAACCAAAAGGAAGTGTAGTACCGCCGTTTGACCAGCACGAATATTCTCATCAGACTCCGGCGCACTTCCTGGGGGCTTGTCTGGTCCCAGCTGTGTGCATCACTTTTTAGTGTCCCCTGGTCTCCCAGCTGTGTGCGTCACTCTTTAGTGTCCCCTGGTCTCCCAGCTGTGTGCGTCACTCTTTAGTGTCCCCTGGTCTTCCAGCTGTGTGCGTCACTCTTTAGTGTCCCCGTTGTGTTTTGAGCTTCTTGCAGCGTTTTGTATTTGCAGCGTTTGGTTTCTGCAGCGTTTAGTAAACGCTGCGCATGTTTCCTCAAGTTGCTGAATGTTTTCTAAATGCTGCATGTGTTGTCAAATTGCTGAAGATGTTTCTTCATTTGCATGTATTATAGCACATTTTTTTTTAAATTTACATCGGTTTTGAAACTGCAGCGCGTTTCTCCTGATGTTGGGCTGTTTTAACGTACAGTATTTGCCCATATCGGCCACCATACTTATCATATTGAACATACATAATGTACATAAATGAACATAAAGTACCCTCTACATGTAATCATGTCAATATGTGTTTGGAGTTGTGGTGGAGGGAAGGACTCTGCACAAACTGCTCTCCATGACTGAATATCCTGACCACCCTCTCCATCAGCTGCTGGACACACAGCAGAGATTATTCTCCACACAGGACAGATACAGGAAATGTTCCATCTGGAATAACCCTCCACAACGCCTCCCCTATGATTAGCAGATAACTCACAGCTTCATAGTCTGTCATTTATTTTTGACTATATTTTCCAGTCTGCTTTTTCCATTGCAATAACCCTAAACAACTTGTACATACTTACTCACACTGCTTCACTGCATTTATTTAAATACATGCCAATTTACAGTCAATGTTTAGGAGTTGTAAAGCTTACCTGCAAATAGCACAGCTAACTCTTCCCTTGCCTTTGCAGTGTGGGTGACTGCTGTCCTGTGGGTATTCACATTTACACTCAGTTTGTAGATAGGGTCACTGTCCATGTGTCTTTAATTCCCAGTGGTCTTATGGTGAAAGACTTGTCTTCAATACATAGGTCTGCTGTCACTGTGACATTAAAATAAATCTGGAGAGGGAAGGCAGGGTTAAAGAGTCAGAGGTGTAAAATATGTATTGTGACACTTTAAATATATAAAAAACACACACTGGTTTTAATGGTAAACTTGTGAAAGCCACATTCTTTATCCCCCCTTGTACTTATATTAATTTCAATGGAACTCTCCCTTCCAGCTTCTTTAATTTGTATAGTAATCTGTTTTATGTCTTAAGTGCCTTTGTACATGCCTCTTTACCACAGTCTTCTTGGGTGTTGGCTTCAGATGAAAAGTGCTTTTTTACCACAAATTTAAAAAAAAAAACAGATATATTTGAAAGTTAAAGCAGCACGGACGTATTTCTTTACTCCAGGAAATTCAGGACTGGCGGTGAAGATATTTCAGGTGAAATGTGCTGCAACAAGTTTCTCAACCCGCTATGCTCACTTCCCCCTTGGAGACTGCACTGCCCGCGTTATATGGGGGGGTCGCTTTAGGTGCACTGCTCTGGTGAGTTCTGTGTTGTTTTTTTTCAGCAGGTTGAACAGTTGATTGCTGTTCTCGTGGTGTCGCTGTGTTTGCCATGAAACAGTAAGTAATTTTGTGTGCTTGGGGATGAATGCACACAAAACTTGACTCATTAGCGCTCCCTACAAAACTTTAATAAAGCAGCCTTCACTTTATGTTAAAACCTAGATATATGATACAGTGTGTGCACATGTATCACATATTGTCTTAAAATAATACTTTTTTGTGTGTAATTTGGCCATTTTGAGGCGATTACCTTTTTTAAGTGTTATTAAAAGGTTTCAGTTGCATGCAACACCCTTGCAGTGGCATCGCTTCCATTTTGAGACATTGCCATGAAACAGAGAAGTAGTTATATTTTTCAAACTGTTCCAAATTTCTTGAATAATAATCCTGGCCTGAGGACTTTTACAGGTCAATATGGTTTAATAATTATAGTGACACCTACTAGCAACAATAAGTCAGCCCTATATGATAGACATCATCCACTTTACATTAAATTACATTGTATGTTCCTCACATGATGTAGGGCAACATAATGGTTGTTAGGCGTGTGTTATAGCACCACATAATAGAGAGGGGAAGTGGTGTAAGATTCATGCATTTTGTAAATTCTTCATTCAATATGTCATATATACACTCTCACTCCATAATCGTCCAGGAGCGACGTTTGGTCAGGGTCCCGTGGCATGCAGTTGTGACGCTCCTAGGCTCCTTCAGCTTCATAAAGGGACGCAAATAGCTTTCAACTGATTGCAATGTATTCCCATCTGCGGCGGGATTTGACGCTCATGGAAGCACGGCATTCGTTTGTGTCGACTGCCCTTAAAAGGCAATGTGAGCGTCCATTCCCATTGGATAACGGAGAATTGTAGACCCGGAAGTAAGTATTCCCCTTACTGTCGATTGATTTTACAGTGATGTCTGCACTACTCATCGACTAAAAAACACCAGATTATCCTTGTTAATTACACAACATTGATTGGTTTAAATTGTGTGCAATGCTTTTGTATTTTTCCCCTTCGATTCGGAGAAACAAATATTTTTTCGGAGTTTTTGGATGGCAGAAGACACTACACTACCCAGAATCCCCAGCTATCGTTTAGGACTACACCATGTGCTCTGTTTGACAAACCCCGTGATTAGTTCTCAAGCTCTGTGATTGGTTGACCTCCAACTGCATTCCATATGAAAAAAAAAAACGTTTCGTAAAAGATAAAATCATACTTTATTCAGCAGTGCTTGCTTTACTCTTTGAAAGTCATCACATGAATGCATTGTAATAAATGGTTCGGCTGCATTAAATATATTACACATCTGTCGTAGTTCTTTATTTATCTACAGAGATCGGGCTCAGAATAGACCGGAAACTATTCTTTTACCGTTCAGTTTGAATTTCACAATAAAGTTAGTAGTAATATTTTGTTTTGATATGATTGTTTTTTATTAACTACTAGACCGCTGGGTCATGTTAAGACCATCTTTTCTGTGTTGCTGTGGGTTTTTTCCATCGCTTTTGTGTTACAAATATCAAAACAATAACTAAATATATCCGTCGTAAACTAAACCAGAAACAGCAGTATATTTGATTTTGTTAACACTGTAAACTTGACAGCTTTTTAACCCAAACCACCTACTGGTTAAAGCACGCTATTACACGTTTAGAGTAATACAATGCAGGTAGATTGTGTTGCTTTTTAATGACTGTTTAAAATGCCTTTTTCTTAATGTATTTTATTATTATTAACTACTTGCTGCTAGGGACGCTGCTATTGATATTATTTCTGTTATGTTGTGTAACTGTTTAATGGTGTTATCTTTATTGCTACCCCCTTCCCCGTCAATGTATAGTGTTGGTCCACAGCGCAAACGTATTAGTTTAACAAAATCCGTTGTGGCATAGATAGCCTACGTTATTTTCCCCTGTGAAATTCTCCATTTACTCAACAATAACACATAATTATCCTTGTGTTTATTTATTTGTTTGATTGATAAACACAAGTTGGAGTCCGTCAGGACCGAGGGTCGGAGCAGCTCATTTGCTTTAGAGAATATTACACCGGGAAGTAAGTATTCTCTCCGCTTCGCTTGACAAACCCCGCAACCCTGTCTCCTAAAAATTACGTTCCCACAGAACTAAACTGCATTCTCAATTACGTTTAGCTAGAAACGTATTTTCTCCCACGTTACGTTCGTTATGAACGTATCTTAAATACGTTTATTTTCTACATATCTTCTAGAAGCATATTTTCTCCCACGTTACGTTCGTTATGAACGTATCTCAAATACGTTTATTTTCTACATATCTTCTAGAAACATATTTTCTCCCACGTTACATTTCTTATGAACGTATCTTAAATACGTTTATTTTCTACATATCTTTGCCATTTATTGTCTTGCTTATAATAATTATAATAGTCATTTATAAATATCATTTTAGAGCACACATTTGAAATCAGTAGGCGAGGCTGTAATTTCGCCAGCTGTTACTCTCATGAGCGAGGCAGAAAATAATAGTTTTTAACATGCCAAAAAGCTGCTGTGTCATTCAAACAAATCCAGAGTTAAGTGTTTCTGTACTTCCTCCAAGAAGAAAGGACAGTAACAGAAGATCTCTGTGACGCCAGATGTGGTGTTGTTAATGCAATATGATATCCGAAAAAAAATTCAGTTTAGGATGGCCGAAGACACTACCCTACCCATAATCCCCAGCTATCGTTTGGGACTACAGTCCCGTTGACAAATCCTGTGATTAATCTTCAAGCTCTGGGATTGGATGTTGGAGTGGTAGTGCGCCAAGGTTACGCCGAGCGTCAAGCTCTTTGAAATGGAACGAAACCACGGCAGACTATTCAAAACTGGACTCGAACGCCCCCCAGAACTACACATGCTGGCTATTGTGTTTCGCAACATGTTCTCTATGGCACGTCTCTACTGGGAATTGTAGTTTTAAAAAGACGTTTTCGTTTTTCCAAAAATTAGAAGTTGACAGTATTAAACTGTGTACAGCCCTGGAGGTTTAGGCGATAGGAAATAAATTGGTGTGTACAAATTTAAAACATGTAATTAGTAATTACATGTTTTAAATTTGTACACCAATTTTCACCCATTTAATAATTACTAATTACTACATGGGGGAAAATCGCTTGTATCCATAATGGGTAGCATTAATATATACCCACATTACAGCTCATTGTTACTTTGTAATTCTACTCTACTACAATTCAGAGGTTAACCTGGTATTTTTACTCCACTACATTTATTTTAGTTACTTTGCAGATTCTGATTAATGATGTGAAATGTAAACAACCCTTAAATCAGACTTTAGTTACACCTGAGTAAAATTCAGGGAAAGGTGATTGTCAAGTGCCAACAATCAGGAGAGATATTTGATAGTTGGTGCTTGAGAAGACTAAACATTTATCTGCAGATCTCTATAAAGTATATTCATTACTCGTTATTCTCTACTCATAGTTAATTAAAGACTGTATATTATGGCTATTTTGCACATCCCTTTCAAGATTTCAAGATTTTCTAAGGTTTATTGACATATCATATACACAACTAGTGTAGTTATGCAATGAATGAAAAACTTGGGTCACAGGTTCCTCAACAGTGCATTACAAGACATCTATCAATATCTGTGTATACCTCCACCATTAAACTGTCATATTCTGCACATTTCTTATTCTATCTACATACATAAGAGTATAATTAATGTGTATAATATCAGTTAAAAGAAGTGCTTCAACATAGTTAACATTGCAGGAAAGCAATATTAGACGTTAAGTACTTTGTCAGTCTTAATATTTATCTGTAGATACCCCCAATGCTTTTTTCTTATTTGAAAGAAGACCTTAAACTAAAGTATTCTTTAATGTGTTAATAAAGGTTAATTAGTTTGTCTGTTTTGCACCTCCTCCTATTAATATCTTTGTACATCCTGCACTAAACTGTTTTATTGTAGAGATCACTTACAGTATCTTCTTGATTTTTTTATATTCTATACTTCTATCATTGACCTTCTACTTTCCCCTGAAAGTATGTACTCTTAATATGTTTTCATGAAATAACATTATTCAACAAAAATAACATTATTCAACAAAAATAATTCAATAACGTTCTTTAACCACTAGGCGGTGCACACAAGGTACACACAGCATACTAATAATAACTTTGTATTATTAGTGTAGGACACTTATGTATGTATAACATCTGAAGATGTGTAGTTTTATTCATGTTTTTACATAATTTTACAGGATATTGCTATACTATTTCTCATGTTTTACTTCTACACATTAATATCTGATTTGTAAAACATCACAGACAGAAAGGCATATCCGTAATTTAAAGGTAAGCTATTGCAATTGTGATTCCATAGATGTGTCTCCCATCACCCAAATCCCCTGACTATTCTCTCAACTCAGTATTTACATTCTTATATTCAAAGAAAATCAGTAATATCTTTAAAAACTATAAATCCTTTTCTATCAGCTGTGCACCGTTATGGTGTAAATATAACCTATCTACCAATTGGATCAAATATAAAAGTCAGCCGAATTAGTATTGATACTGCAAGGAGACGTATTTTGTGAAAAGAAATGCAAGATGTTGTTTAATTGTTGATATATTTATGATCCACGTCGCATATTCAGTTTTGGCGGCAGTTCTTCAAGTTTGTCCAGAAGTCTTCTCAGCAGGGCTCTATAAATAGAGAACTACAGCAGATGTGTAATATTTAATGCAGCCGAACCATGTATTACAATGCCGTTATGTGATGACTTCCAAAGAGAAAAGCAAGAACACTCGGAATAAAGTATTATTTTATTTTGAATTTTTTTTTCCGGATATCATATCGCATTAACATCATATCCCAACATGCATTGCAGCTAAAATATCCAATCAACGAGCTTCAAGCTGAGGATCTTGGGTAATCTGTTCAGTGGGTTTTTGGTGTGTATCCTCGAAATGTTCCTTTTATAGGCCTACGTCTGTTTCCGGTGACTTTATTTACGGCTAAAAAGCCCAAGATTATAGAATTAAACGAATAAATAAAAACAAGGATAATTGTGTGTTATTGTTGAGTAAATAACAGTGTGTTATTTAGAAAAGAATAACAAATTAGAAGGAAAAAAAGATTTAAAAAAATACAGATTTCAGTATTTTGAGGCTCTAAGCCCCATTTATTTTCCTCACAGACGGGAAAAAAAGTCCGACATTATACGATTTAAAATAAAAAGATAAAACACTGGCATGTAATTTACGTTAGAATAAATAGAATGGTTTTGAATAATAGATGAGAGTAAAACGCACGTCACTTTACAGCCCCGCCCACTTTTGGGGAAACCAACGCTGTCATTTGAACGGCGATCAAGCCTGAAGCCACAGAGCTCTTCTTTTACTGTCCTTTCTTCTTAGAGGAAGTACAGAAACACGTAACTCTGGATTTGTTTTAATGTTTGAGGTGCAACAAACGACACAGCAGCTTTTTGGCATGTTAAAACTATTATGTTCTGCCTCGCTCATGAGAGTAACAGCTGGCGAAATTACAGCCTCGCCTACTGATTTCAAATGTGTGCTCTAAAATGATATTTATAAATGACTTATCATTATTATAAGCAAGACAATAAATGGCAAAGATATGTAGAAAATAAACGTATTTAAGATACGTTCATAACGAACGTAACGTGGGAGAAAATACGTTTCTAGCTAAACTTAATTGAGAATGCAGTTTAGTTCTGTGGGAACGTAATTTTTAGGAGACAGGGTTGAACCCTGTGATAGTCCTCAAGCTCTGTGATTGGAGAGTGTGCTCCGAGGGTTACGCAGAGTGTCGAACAGCACTTGAAATGGGATGGAACCACGGCAGACTGTCCAAAACCGGATTTGAACGGGTCCACCGCGTCCCCAGAACTACACATGCTGGCTATTCTGTTTCGCAACATGTTCTCTATCTATGGCACGTCTCTGGGAATTGTAGTTATAAAATACGTTTTTGTATTTCCCATAATAAGAAGTTGCCAGTATTAAACTGTGTACATCCCTGGAGGTTTAGGAAACACTCACATTTAAAACATATAATTAATAAATGGGTGAAAATTGCTTGTGCCCATAATGGGCAGCATTAATATATATACCCACATGCCAGCTAAGGTCAGAAGAGCTTTATTTAACAGCTGGTCTTATGTTTGTGACCCCTGTTGTTAATTGATAACATTATATTACATTACATTAATTGATAAGCCTGAAACATGCACTTGTCAAGGTTCAGAGGCACATTTTGCAAATATGGCAGTAGCCATCGATCAGCTTAAGATAATATATACTTTAGTGATCCCAAGTTGGAAACATTTGCGTTACATCAGCATGTGTAACAGTTGTAAATATGCAGTGGTGTTTATTTACATCATTTAGTATAATCACACAAATTCTGTGTTTTATATTTAATAATTCTGTGTTCTTTATTTATTGATTGTTCAATACCTGACAAGGCCGGAGATTAAATATCTACATACATCTTATAAGAGTATAATACATATGTATAATATCAGTTAAAATAAGTGCTTCAACATAGTTAACATTGCTGGAGGTATACACACATATTGATAGATGTCTTGTAATGCACTATTGAGGAACCTGCGACCCAAGTTCTTCATTCAATGCATAACTACACCATAGTTGTGTAGGCCTATATGATATGTCAATAAACCTTAGAAAATCTTGAAATCTTGAAAGGGATGTGAAAAATAGTCATTATATACAGTCTTTAATTAACTATTAGTAGAGAATAACGAGTAATGAATATACTTTATAGGGATCCTATTAATATCTAATAATAAAAATAATGAAATTCAATAACATGCTTTAACCACTAGGTGTCCCTTTATATCAGCTGTGCACCTTTATGGTGTAAATACAGCCTATCTACCAATTGGATCAAATATAAAAGTCAGCCGAATTAGTGTTGATACTGCAAGGAGACGTATTGTGTGAAAATAAATGTAAGATGTTGTTTAATTGCTGATATATATATGATCCACCTCACGTTTTCAGTTCATCATGTTTGTCTAGAAGTCTTCTCAGCAGGGCTTTATAAATACAGAACTACGGCAGATATGTAATATTTAATGCAGCCGAACCGTGTATTACAATGCCGTTATGTGATGACTTTCAAAGAGAAAAGCAAGCACACTCGGAAAAAAGTATTTTTTTAAATTTCTTTTAAATTTTTTCGGTCTGTTTCCGGTATTTGTTAATGACGATGTGCTCTGAGATGTGAGACTGGAATTGCACAGGGGAAAATAACGTATCTTTAGATGCGGATTTTGTTAAACTAATACGTTTGCGCTGTGGACCAACACTATACATTGACGGGGAAGGGGGTAGCAATAAAGATAACACCATTAAACAGTTACACAACATAACAGAAATAATATCGATAGCAGCGTCCCTAGCAACCACCTTGGTAACAATAAAAACGTTCTATGGACGCAATTTCCTTTAGTAATCTTCGTAATAACTAGGAAACTAAAGATCATGTACATCCACTGCACACATAATCTGAAATAACAATTGCAATCAGTTGAAAGCTATTTGCGTCCCTTTATGAAGCTGAAGGAGCCTAGGAGCGTCACAACTGCACGCCACGGGACCCTGACCAAACGTCGCTCCTGGACGATTATGGAGTGAGAGTGTGTTGGTCATGACGAAGACGCTGAAGTAAGAAGAGTGACAGTCAGCAGCGTAGCATAGCTGCCTTGTAATGTGAGGCCGACACGCATTCATGTTGTCTCGTCCTGATTGGCCAACACACTCTCACTCCCTAAGCGTCCAGGAGCGACGTTTGGTCAGTGTCCGTGGCGTCCAGTTGTGACGCTCCTAGGCTCCTTCAGCGTCATAAAGGGACGCAAATAGCTTTCAACTGATTGCAATGTATTCCCATCTGCGGCGGGATTTGACGCTCATGGAAGCACGGCATTCGTTTGTGTCGGCTGCCCTTAAAGGCAATGTGAGCGTCCATTCCCATTGGATAACGGAGAATTGTACACCCGGAAGTAAGTATTCCTCTTACTGTCGATTAATTTTACAGTGATATCTGCACTACTCATCGACTAAAAAACACCAGATTATCCTTGTTAATTACACAACATTGATTGGTTTAAATTGTGTGCAATGCTTTCACTGCAAAAATTACTGATCTTGCCAAGAGTTGCCATCTTATATCAAGCCATAAATTCTTACTGGACTTGTTTTGAGAATAATGTACTATGCAAGAGCTGCTTGTGTAAGATGATGAAGCTTCTTTTAAGAACATTAGACTTCTGAATTCTTATTTGGTCAGCAAATCTTGAAATAAGGTATTTTACAAACAAATTAAGATAAATTACTGTCAGAGACACGTTTGGGTCACTGCCTCATATCAATTTGTTTTTTTTTTTAGCTGTCAGAACTTGTTTCAAGACATGTTACAACTTATTTTAAGAATCACATGGGATCCATTTAAGTCAGATTCATATTTATGTCAGATGTTAAATCACAACATTAATTCCCAAAGCAATAACAAATCAAAAATATCAACTTGGAATGGGGCAATATATCGAAATTCAATGTATCACAATAGCTCAATTTAGTAATTATTTCATAGTAAATTATTCTGCCTAGCAAATAACATTGCTACAAAAATGTGTCTGAGAAAAAAAAATAGTACCACACTGTCAGACTGAAACTTTTATTTATGACATTGTATCATGGTTCTATCACATTTCAACCCTATATTGCATTGTCAATCACATTGAGATAATCTAACTGTAACCCCTATCAACTGTATCAGCTCTTCATATACACATCCTTACAATGCTCATTCAATGAACTTTCATTTCAAGGAGAACAAAAGTAGAAATAATAATAATCATACTTTCCAAAAGCAAAATTCCCTGACTATACTATTTTGCAGGAAAAATAACGTTACAGCAGTGCATTACTTTATAATGTTTTTTCTCCCAACACATGTTTGTAAATAAACAGTCAATACAACAACACAAATAAATCCGTATTTGGCAGAATTAGACAAAATTAGACAAAAAAAGGGTAACCGTACTCTATGACAGATAACAATAATAAAATAGTAAAAAAGACATTTAAAAAAAACAAACACTTCCTACACATTTTCCTGTGTTATCTCAATAAACTAGATTTCACTCAAATTATCATGTTGCATACACAGGTATAACCTTCCAATGCTCATTCAATGATCATCATATTTAGGTTTTAAGTGCAATGACATCCCTAAGGTTATATTTGATCAAAATATACACACTGTTTTCAAAACTCATCGAATAATAGGATGTATAGTCAACAAGCTTTTCTGCATCTATCAACTCTGTTGCTTGGGCAAGATTGGGTATAGTGACTTCATATGCTAATAAATCTTTGTTAAAACAGACAGTTTCATAAAGCTGATGTTCAAAGCAATACAATGAAGAATCTATGACATAAATGTTTTTTATAAGTCCAAAGATAGGTACTGTATCATTTGCATTAGTTATTATCAGAGACTTTCCGCTGATGTACTTGTTACCATTAAGAATAAGCCACTTGACTGAGATTGCATGTTGTATGCCATCAATCCCCAAGAAATCTCTAATCTTTGCTGTGATGTACTCTTTATTTGTCACTTCTGAGACGGGGCCCAATTCTTTCTCATGTAAAAATATTGGATGCTCAATGCCCATTTCATTTTGACAGCATTCGAGAAGCTGGTTATGGTTCACCAACGATTTACATACATTTTTGAAGTTCAATTTAGATGACCACTGTTTAAAAAAACAGTGCTTTGACTCAAATCTCATGCACATATGCCTTGTCAAAGGACCCAGAGAAAGAATTTGGGTAGGGAGATGCAACATGTAATGTTGCTTAGGCGTTACATTTTTGTCAGGAAAAAGTTGCTTAAACTGTTTTAGATGCTGCTCAATCATTTGTTTAAGTCTTAATACAGTTTGCAGAGATATGACAGGCGCAAAAACTATTTGAACTATCTCAATTAATTCCAAAATAAACTTAACGTAAATATTTCCCTTCATATTGTTCAACAGAAAAGGCATGATCTTTAACAATATCAGCATTTGCCCAGAAGACTGTTTAAGTTTGTTATCATTAGATGACAAGGTATTGACACTGACAGGACAGGGCTTGTCTCGTACATCAATAGATGAAAAAGGAAAACTCTGCATGGCTGAATTGAAAATGTCCAACTCCATTTGTCCTGACAGAATAAGGTATTTTAACACACACTTAATTTCCATGGGTGCAATACCCTCAAGAATGATGTGCATTATGTCCTGTGGAGTTTGCTGAATGAGGTCAATGGCTGGAAATTCAACCAGCTTGCTTTTTCTGTTTATTCCGTAGGTGGTTTTAAGGGCAGATTTCAAGAACTCTGTGCTGGCCCTTTCTATTTCAATGCACTGTCTAATGTGCTTTTCCACTGTCCTTTTAGTGAAACATTGTTCATCAAAATTGATTTGCATGTCCTCAAAGGTACATTCACAGTGCCTGCACTTGCTATATGCAAAACCAACTCCTTCCTTAAAGCCAGCGAGCTCATGTTGCGCAAGTGTGTCACCACATAGTGAAATTAAAGCACCAAATAAATCCATTTCACCATTCTGTGTTTGTATTTTGACACCATTGTACAGCAATTTTAAGTCTTTATCAATTCGTTCTAATACAACATCAACACCACACTGGTCAATATCATTAGCTTTTGCTATAGCAAGGAGTCTAATTGCTGCAAGCTTCGATCTAAACTTGGGGTCTATGTTTCCTAGAGTATAATAAACCATCAGTAATTTGTTTACAGAAGCATGTGACCCCAAGGGGTTGCATATCTCTATTTCATCAGTGTACAAGATCAGCTGCAAAGCAGTAGGTTTTATTGAAAACAGAGGGTGAGATTTAAAAAGACTCCCATCAACAATGTCATACAAAAACCCATCTTTGTTGCAGCTTTGTGGTGCAGTGTTGATCATATCAAAGATTCTGGAGTTGGACAACAACTGTTGTAGACTATTAATTAGGGGTATATAGTAAAAACTTTTGTTTTTGATTACAAGAACTCTTGAGTCTCCCTTTTTAACTCTACAAACTATTTGAGACACAAGTATTTCCTCTGGTTTCACTGGGTTAAAAAGATTCTGAATGGTGCTATCCTGCATGTATGTGGTGGCCATTAGGGTGAAAGGATCCTGAAAATTATCAAATGTTGCCAATGCTTCCTCTTGGAGCTGCGCCGTACTCCCTGAATGACTCTCGAAGACCCTCTTCATTTTGTCTCTCAAGGTATCCAGAAGAGCCGCTTGATACTGTTGGACCCCAGAGACAATATCGTTGATACTCCTCTGAAAGAGAAAATTAAAAAAATTAAATACATCAGAGTATGCATTTACAGTCCGAGTGTCCATAGCTAACTAACATAACTAAAGTGCCCCCATGTGTGAACACAAGGTAGAAAATGACATACAAAGATTATCACCACTCTTCAACCCCTTTGACTACATGCACACTTACATTCATTATGTCACTGGCAGACACTTTTGTACAAAGCAACTAATAGATGCAATACCTGGGACAGGTGGCATTTTTCACGGACATTGATGGCAAATGCAACTGCACGTCTGGAAAGATTTCCGCCAGATGTATCAGCTTCTTCCTGGAGACAGATTCATAGTAATATTACACAATTAGAAGAAAGACTAGTTAACTCAAGTGTTGTATGTTTGAGTAATGTTATCATGTAAGATATGGCTTTTAAACCAGCAGCCCCTGTCCAATATGTCTTCTTTAAATAGTGTCTGTGAAAATAATTACAGGAAGAAGGTCCTGTGTTCTGGCTAGTGAAAATTGCTATTTCAACCAGTGGCGGCTGGTCCATAGAGGCAGAGGAGGTTGCTCCTCCTCTATTTTTGAGAGGCAAGAGGAAGATCAAATCATCAATCAATCATTGTTTTACTGCTTAAGTTTTCATTGGACAGCATAAAGTAGAGATAAGTAGCCAACTAGTGTAGTAATAATACTAATAATTAGTATTTATATAGCAAAGTCCAGATTAAAAGATTTCCAGAGTAAAAATAAAGAAACCCATATAAGACCCCCCTTTATGACATACACAAATTAGGGTTATTTCACTACGACAACAAAAGCACGTGAACACAACGCACTCGTAATTACCAATTCACAAATGAAAAGGATCATCCTTCCCATAGCACGTGAAGGCACCATTAAAGTAGCTTCACATGTAGTGAACTACTTTTGCGGTGTTTGTGTAACTTAGCTTGCTACATTTGACTGGTTGGTAGCTTCTGTGTAGTGAAGCTACACTGGTAGCTGGAGTAACTGGTAGCTTAGCTCACTACATTTTCAAAGTAGCTTACCCAACACTGCATCTTACCTGATCAGGAGGTTGAATCGGGAATTCCTCAAGCTGTTGCTCCTGCTGTGAAGGGACACATGTGCTGACTTGACTGTTGGTCCTTTGCATCCCTCGTGTCGCGGTGGCACAACCAGAAAAAATGGGCATATCAAAATCTTCAAGTCCAACTCTAGATGGTTCGGGTGCAGTTGTCATCAACCCAGAAGGCGGGCTTCCATTTTCAAAATACAGAGCATGTCTACGTCTGATGTGGTAGTAGAACGAGTTGAAAACTCTGTATTCTTCGGTACATCCATTAATTCCACATACAACACGGAAATCTGGACTGCGGCCATGTGCCTTGTTAATATGGCTCAGCAGAGACTTCAATGTTAACGCAAAAAAAACAAAGCAAATCACACACCGCCAATACGCCATGTTCCTCAAAACCTTCTGAACTGAGGAGGAGATGGAAGCTGACAGATTGATGTGACAGACAAAACATCTGCTAAAGGCAAAGTTGAACCACAGCCCGCGCCAGTACTGTAATATCTCCTAGTTCTGCAATACTTCCTGGCGGGCTTTTGCACGTTAGTTGGGTCAAACCATATTAACAATGGGGGGGTAGGGTCTCTGATATATCCTTTTTAGTATGTGCTGCGATATTAAAAATACAAAAAGCATATGTATTAGCAATTAAAAACACTATCGTCACCTTTTTCCCCTCAAATGCTTAATTTGATCATCCCTATTTACCCAGATTATTATTTGTCGAAGGAGGAGTTCAACCCACTACTGTATCATTGTCAAGTAGCCAGTTCACGAGGTTAGAAAGAAGAGAAGGTCACAGAAGAAGAGAAGAGAAGAAGGTCACACATTGGAGAGAAGGTGTGTATTCATATTATAATAAAAGCGCATTAATTTGTCACGTTACCAATATTGCTGGGTTAAAAATACAATGAATATTATGTCTGTTTGCTAGCTAGCTAGCGCTACTAGTGGGCTAGCGCTGTTAGCTAGCTAGCGCTACTAGTGGGCTAGCGCTGTTAGCTAGCTAGCTAGCGGTGATGCTAACGTTGTCGTTCGGGTTAGCAAATCATTACAGACTGCTGAATTAATCCACTAAAATTGTCAGTTATTTCTTTTCTACACCAGTATAGTGGTACGTTTATTAAATAATGAATTAAAAACGACATGTATAACTTTTATTTGTATCGTGATGTGTTCACCGGTCCCACAACTTCTATTACGCAGTCAAAATGGTAACTAAGAGTGGAAAGTGTTCAGCGTTTCACACTGAACTATTTGACCGTTATAATGAACCATGCGGGTACTACCGGTAGGCCTATAGTGCACACAAATATTTCATGCTTCAGATTGGAACACATTTATACACGCAAAACAGTAAATGTTAGTACAGAAATATGCAAATAGAGATACAGCAAGGGAAAAATAGCTGTTTTGTCAGTATTCACTAAAACCAGTGTGCGAAATACGGGGTCCCTTCGTTCTGAGTTGGAGAGTAGCACGTTTAAGTTCGCGGCCAAATAGTAATTAAAGTAGTTTGTTACTATACAAGTTAAGCGCCTGTAACATCAGTGTTAAATGCGTATGTGCCGGTTGGTGTGCGTACCTTATGAAAGTAAGTGTTTATCGGTTCGCAGACGTAATGAGCGACTTTGCAGTGGTCTACATGTAATGCGCACGTTCTATTGTTTACAATTAGCATGCTAAGCAGAGTTAGCTTTATTCACGTCTTATGTTGCCTTACTATGTAATATGAATGAGATTCATGTTGCTTAGTGTAATGCCCCATCCACCGCTTGCTTTGCATGTCCCGCAAACCAACCAGTGGAAGTCAGGGGAGGGCGAAATAGTTTCGGAAAGGACCACTCTACTGAGATGAGGTGGATTTGTTTATCGGCGTTACTTTAGCGATCATGACGGTACTGAGCATAAAGTAGAAAGTAGATGAGACGATAGAAGTGTAAGAAACCCATATGAAGATAGGCTTTTTATTTCAGTTATCCTATTTTTGCACCGAAAATATTTGAAAACCATGAAAGTTTAAAAAGTTCAAAATAATGACCACTACACAAGCGAAGTTGTGACGCCCCGTGTTCGTTCCCAGCGCCCCCCTAGGTTCTACGAACGCCCCCCACGGGGCGCTGACTCCCCCGTTGAGAAACCCTGTAATATAAAACAACGTGCATCCAAACAACTTTAGCCAATGCAACCTCCTATGTCAGTGTTGCACAACAATCGGGAGATGGGACCCCCCGAATATTGACGGGTATTTCACACACTGACTAAAACCATTATTTGTCAGCCTCTGTAGCAGATAAAAACATAAAATGAAAAGCATTTAAGAGCTTAAACCACAAGGAATGATTGTATTAACTGTACTATTCAATCACATGTTTGTAAAGCTGTTTGAAATCAAATTATGATAATTAATTAATATTTTTTCTTCCTACCAGGTTATAGATGGGACAATGGATACACTGGATGATGTTACAGTGTCAATTTTTAAGGGTATGTCATGTGTGTTTGAATCAAAACGATAAATAATTATTTGGGATTGTAAAATGTTGGTAATGATGCTACTGTCCTAATAGCTGCTAACATCAATGAGGTGTTGATGCACTCCCTCACTCGTGATGATTTGAGAGACCTTTTTCCTGGGCCAGAACACTTTCTTAGGAGAAAAAGAGTGTGGTCTTTCATCAGCCCAGAGGTAAATGGTTACCTACTTTGGTCTAAAAACAAAGTTGCACAAGACATGTTATTTCAGATTGTCGCCATTGTTTGACTTTGACTGTTTGACATTATCTGCTGTTGTAGGACGAGAATCCTATCTTAAAAGATAAAGATGGCCCTTCTGAAACAGGAACTCCACCTTGTAGAAAACATAGTCTCCCTCCAACATCCACTCCTTTGGAGAAAAACCGCCCAAAGTTGACCCTACAGCTACCTAGTCCACCAGAGTATGTGATCTACACGGACAGTGAGTTGGAACAAGCTCGTAGACATTACTTTGAGATGGCCCGCACAGGCAGAGAGAGGGAATGTGTAATGTCCAAGGAGTTGAGTTGCAGGCTAGTGAGGAACACACTCACCAGCATGATTTCCATCCTGAGAGCAAGTCCACAAGGAGAAGAGCTTCACTACCCTTCCAACCCTGAACTCACAGCCATGGCTCAGAAAGTAGTGGAGTATTATCCCATGTTACAAGACAAAGATGAAGCTGTGAAACATGTAAGTCATTAAAATGTGTGGCTGTTTATTTCTTGCACTTTGTTAATTGTGAAGTACTAAGTAATTCTTATAAAGTTATTCTTTGTTATTTGCCACAGACAACCATTCACAATAAACTTAAAAAGAGGCTTCTAAACGTAAAGTCTCCGCAAAAGAGGCAAGGGCCTGCACAAGAGAGGGGCCGTCCAAAGAAGAGGCGTTGCCTTGACTTGTCAGCAAGTGACTCAGAAAAGATTATGATGCTGACTCAAGTGACGCAGGTGGATCAACAATTATTTTGGATCAGACTCTTAACAGTTCTGATGAAAATGAAAGTACATGTAAGTAGAATTGCAACTTAATTTCCATTTATATGGTTCTCTACTCGAAAGGCATATCCACACATTGCTGAATGCATAACATCATGTGCAGCATAAAAGTTGTTTGTAATGGACAGAGATATTATGGTCATTTTCTGTCATTAATTTTGTAGAGAACATTTTAACCTTTAAGGCAGCTATATATAGTTATGTGAGCATGTCATTGTCGTTTTCTGATTTATTGTTTGACAATTGTGGTAAGGCACAAAATGCATTTTTGAAAGGACAAATAAATATCTAAAATATCTTCATTAGCTTCCACAGTAGCCCGCTCGGGCCGCCGGCTGCCCAATTACACCGCGGACCAGCGATCCAGTATGGTCATCCGTTCTCCCAATTCACACCAGGGAGCCAAAAAGCAGCTGGTAAAGGCCCTCCACGGTACACTTTACCCAGCAGAGGACCCAGAGCCCGGGGAGGAAGAAGAGGGTAAGTCCTGAGTCTTCCAAACTTTTCTACTTGTGTGTTGTTTGAATATTTTTAAAGACATCACCCAGCCATAAGAGGGCTGCTTCTAAAGGGAGACCATTTTTGACAGTCTTATGTGCACATAATCATTTTCATTTTTCATTTTAGTGGACAAGGATAGTCTGCAAGCACAGGCCAGGCATTTTAAGACTGCATGAGATGTACAAGAATAAAAAACAAAACAAAGATGCTGTCTCTCAACTCCTTGATCTCGAGTTTGAAGCAAGAAGACTGTTCATTCACAGTGATGTCCTGAAAGTGGAGGACAGGCACACAAAGGTCCTGGATGCCTATCCATGCTTCAAGGATCTTCAGAATGTTAGTAAACGACTTCCCATTTTTACTCTTCAACAAAAGTTCCAGATTTTAATACTTATTCACTCTGTAGGTGATGTCTGAGCTGCGTCGCATCCTGGATAAAGACAACCACAAATACATAGCACAAGTAAAGAAGAGATGGGACGACTTTGTTGCTAAAGTGCAGTTTTACGGAGTTTTGAAGAAAGCGATGAAACCACCTATGACCCTGGATCGTGGTAAGTCACCTCTTAGTGTCTACAATGTGTTGGTGAAGATATGACTGAATAGGAGTGTGTCATTGATGCAAGGCTGACCAAATACATCTAAAATAATAATGCTCTGGGGGCATTTTCACACTATTTTGTTATCTTACCAAAAGTAGGATCCCTCTATCACACTTTAAGTTCCTAGCTAAAAGTTGTATTTTAAAACCTATTCACAAACTTGCTGAGATCAACTTTTCACTAAGGAATTAGGAGAAATCCAACTGGGTTGACCCAGATGACATCGCAATTCCTGAAACAGTTATTGGCGGAATGACGGACGGACTTCAAATCTGTGCGTCATTAATGGCGTCTGATGCAACCTCTGCAGCAGTAGCTTACTAAGTCACAACACCAACCAACTAAACAACAGACATCGGCTACCTCCAGGGAGCATGTCACCTGATGCACCCTAAAATTAACCTCACAGTGCATGTCTCCTAAACTTGAATAACTTTGACCTTAAGTCAGTTATATATTTATATGCATTATCCTTTGTTTCATGTGTCTAAACTGTAGTTATGTTAATACAGATTGTGTGAGCTAAAACAGTTAATACAGTGTCTGTCTTTCCATCCACCTGTTCGCTTTCTCTTCTCTCTTCTCATAGTGGAATTCTCGATTGCCTTGTTCAAGGCACTCCCTACACTCTTTCCTTCACCAGCTGCACCGCCTAAGAAATTGGGACATGCCATTGATACATGTTCTTCAGGTGAGCTATTGTGTCACATTCAAATCTTGATGTTTTTTTTACTTGTGTCTATAAAGCCATTTACTTCCATGCTTTATCCTTTTTGTAAGTCTATAATGGGGTCGCTTTTCACAATTAGGACAACATTTAATAAGATATGTTGCTGTTTTTTAAGCTGCCTTGTCATGAAAGGACATTCTCTCAGCGGCAATTGATAGTAAAGTTGAAATAATTTAACTTTAAGCGTAAGCACTGTGGCAATTTGGAGCTTGTTGGCACCGTTCCCTCCATTGGAAGAAATCGGCACATCAGTGCAGAGCTGTTTTACTGCTGGTCATGTAAGCCAGCTTTCAGCAGGAGGTTAAGCAATTTGTTTTCATTATTTTATTGGAAGACATGTTTTTGTATTTTCATTAGTACATCAAATGGTGCTGTCTTTGGATTCACATACTACATGCAAAGCATTATAACTTCAATCATAGATGCAATATATACATAATGGTAGTTGAGGGTCTGCTTTAGTAGTTCTATGTTATGGATGTTTATCAGAGTTTTGCTATCTCCTTTAGCCCACAGAAGATCCCACCGTCTACCTCCAGAAGAGATCTCTGTCCAGCCCCATCTTACTTGTTGATGACTCCAACTGCCTTGTCGCCATAGGAACCACTCCCATCACTACATTTGCCAAGCAAGACCTGCATGAGGGTTTGCTATATCTAATGGCCTATTACTACACAATACATCTCACTTATCCGAAGTGTGTTGCAACCATCCTTTCTGTTATTCAAACAGAAATATTGAAGGATACTATCCATGACCGAGACGCCACAGCCTCATACAAAAAAGCCATGGCTGAGTGGAAAGCTTTTATTGGGGAGTAGATCTTGGTGGTAGTTAGGTTCCCAACCTGTTTCTACAATGCTCACCCGCAATGTCTATGGGAGAGAATAACATCCCAGAAAACAACTCATGTACAAAAACAAAAATGCAATAGTCAGCCCATCATTTCCTTCCAGCCCTCCTTTCCTCAAACTGCAGGTAGCTGCACCTTCAAAGTAAGGGTCACTTGCCATAGCCACCTCTCTGTGGGCATTGCCCATATTCAGCCAGCAGGTTTTCCACCTTTTGTTTTTAAGGTGCAACTAGCAATACAAATTTGATCATTGCACTTTACAAATGATCAGCTGAAAATTGCAACTTTGCTCTTTGTAATGTAATTAAAAAGCCAGTCATTTTTAGGTCTATATATTGAGTCGTGCCCATTTGCTGGGCACAACTCATGCTCGCTTAGACATATACAATGTGGGTGAGCTAGGTGGTAGTTGGGCTAGTTATTGTTAACAATTGATACTGGTACCAGTATCTGTTTTTGCATTGATACTTTGGACACAAGAGACATGACTTTCTATCATTCAGTGTTTGAGAATTTTTGTTCAACAATAAGAGAAAACAATAATATTGAAGCTCTTAAGTTATAATTCTTCATTTTTGGTTATCTAACACAAAGTAATGTTGAGTGGTTTTCAATGTTATAATTTAAGTTTAAAATTATCGTCATGATTAATTCATACGTTTTGTAAAATGCATGCTAGGTTCTTGTTTTGAGATCTGTCTACTTGAATTCAGAAATAAACAAATGGTAAAAGAAAATTTGACAACTTGTTTTGAGTATATTTGGCTTATACCTGTGCATGGAATAAGTGTTTTTCTGCTTACTTCAGGACATTTGCCACTTTTCTAGCATCCATATATTTCTTATTTCCAGAATTATTATTCTTATTTTAAGAATTCTTATTTCAAGAATTATTATTATTTCACGCATTCTTATTTCAAGAATTATTATTCTTATTTTAAGAATTCTTATTTCAAGAATTATTCTTATTTCACGCATTCTTATTTCAAGAATTGTTATTCTTATTTTAAGAATTCTTATTTCAAGAATTATTCTTATTTCACGCATTCTTATTTCAAGAATTATTATTCTTATTTCAAGAATTATTATTCTTATTTTAAGAATTCTTAATAAGTCTAATTATCTCACTGCACTGGCAGATTATTACACTTGTTTCAAGTCTGTATAAACTCAAATCACATATTTTTTTTCTTGTTATAAGATGGATGATTTTTGCAGTTTCCCCTTCGATTCGAAGAAACAAATATTTTTTCGGAGTAAAGGATGGCAGAAGACACTCCACTACCCAGAATCCCCAGCTATCGTTTGGACTACGCATGTGCTCTGTTTGACAAACCCCGTTTTTTTTCACCATTCATTCCAATGGCTGTCGTCTATGTCACGTGATCTTCAAATTTCTCCCTGCAGAAAAAGAAAACATGGCCGAACTTCGTTTTATTCTCGGTGGAAAATGCCTATTTTAAAGTTAGTTTGGCCATTAAAATGCGTTTTGATGTCATTTGATGCGAGAAATATGAGTTGTTATTTCAGATTATGTGTGCAGTGGATGTACATGATCTTTAGTTTGCTAGTTATTACGAAGATTACTTCAGGAAATCGCAACGTTTTCATTGTTACCAAGGTGGTTGCTAGGGACGCTGCTATCGATATTATTTCTGTTATGTTGTGTAACTGTTTAATGGTGTTATCTTTATTGCTACCCCCTTCTCCGTCAATGTATAGTGTTGGTCCACAGCGCAAACATATTAGTTTAACAAAATCCGCATCTAAATATAGCCTACGTTATTTTCCCCTGTGCAATTCCAGTCTCACATCTCACAGCACATCGTCATTAACAAATACCGGAAACAGACCGAAAACATTTAAAAAAAAAAAAAAATACTTTATTCCGATTGTGCTTGCTTTTCTCTTTGAAAGTCATCACATAACGGCATTGTAATACACGGTTCGGCTGCATTAAATATTATATATCTGCCGTAGTTCTGTATTTATAGAGCCCTGATGAGAAGACCTCTAGACAAACATGATGAACTGAAAACGTGACGTGGATCATAAATATATCAGCCATTAAACAACATCTTACATTTCTTTTCACACAATACGTCTCCTTGCAGTATCAACACTAATTCGGCTGACTTGTATATTTGATCCAATTGGTAGATAGGCTGTATTTACACCATAAAGGTGCACAGCTGATATAAAGGGACACCTAGTGGTTAAAGCATGTTATTGAATTTCATTATTTTTATTATTAGATATTAATAGGATCCCTATAAAGCAGTGTTTCTCAAACTTTTTCATACCAAGGACCACTTAACCAATAAAAAAACACTCGCGGACCACCTAACTCCACAAATGTCCAAAAACACATCGTTTTTTACAAATTGCCTGAAAATGGTACAAACAAGTGGCAACATGAGTGATGAAGGTGTTTATCTGGGCTATATTATGCAATCGAAAGTGAAACTTAAGCTTGCTCCATTGCGGAGATATTCTCGCGAGAGTACGAACAACTTTAATTAATTAATTAATTTCAAATGTGAAATGTTACCAATATACTCACGGACCACTAGGGGGCGCTCACGGACCACCAGTGGTCCGCGGACCACACTTTGAGAAGCACTGCTATAAAGTATATTCATTACTCGTTATTCTCTACTAATAGTTAATTAAAGACTGTATATAATGACTATTTTGCACATCCCTTTTCAAGATTTCAACTATGGTGTAGTTCTGCATTGAATGAAAAACTTGGGTCGCAAGTTCCTCAATAGTGCATTACAAGACATCTATCAATATTTGTGCATACCTCCAGCAATGTTAACTATGTTGAAGCACTTATTTTAACTGATATTATACATATGTATTATACTCTTATAAGATGTATGTAGATATTTCATCTCCGACCTTGTCAGGTATTGAACAATCAATCAATAAAGAACACAGAATTGTTAAATATAAAACCCAGAATTTGTGTGATTATACTAAATGATTTACAAATAAACACTACTGCATATTTACAACTGTTACACATGCTGATGTAACGCAAATGTTCCAACTTGGGATAAATAAAGTATATCTTATCTTAAGCTGATTGATGGCTACTGCCATATTTGCAAAATGTGCCTCTGAACCTTGACAAGTGCATGTTTCAGGCTTATCAATTAATGTAATGTAATGTTATCAATTAACAACAGGGGTCACAAACATAAGACCAGCTGTTAAATAAAGCTCTTCTGACCATAGCTAGCATGTGTGTATATATATTAATGCTGCCCATTATGGGCACAAGCAATTTTCACCCATTTATCAATTATATGTTTTACATTTGAGTGTTTCCTACCCCCTAAACCTCCAGGGATGTACACAGTTTAATACCGGCAACTTCTTATTATGGGAAATACGAAAACGTCTTTTAAAACTACAACTCCCAGTAGAGACGTGCCATAGATAGAGAACATGTTGCGAAACAGAATAGCCAGCATGTGTAGTTCTGGGGACGGGGTGGGGGAGGGGGGGACGCGGTGGACCCGTTCAAATCCAGTTTTGTCTGCCTTGGTTCCATCCCATTTCAAGTGCTGTTCGAGAATCGGCGTAACCCTCGGAGCACACTCCAATCACAGAGCTTGAGGACTATCACGAGGTTTGTCAAACAGAGCACATGGTGTAGTCCAAACGATAGCTGGGGATTCTGGGTAGTGTAGTGTCTTCTTCCATCCTTTACTCATAAAAAATATTTGTTTCTCCGAATCGAAGGGGAAAAATACAAAAGCATTGCACACAATTTAAACCAATCAATGTTGTGTAATTAACAAGGATAATCTGGTGTTTTTTAGTCGATGAGTAGTGCAGACATCACTGTAAAATCAATCGACAGTAAGAGGAATACTTACTTCCGGGTGTACAATTCTCCGTTATCCAATGGGAATGGACGCTCACATTGCCTTTAAGGGCAGCCGACACAAACGAATGCCGTGCTTCCATGAGCGTCAAATCCCGCCGCAGATGGGAATACATTGCAATCAGTTGAAAGCTATTTGCGTCCCTTTATGACGCTGAAGGAGCCTAGGAGCGTCACAACTGGACGCCACGGACACTGACCAAACGTCGCTCCTGGACGCTTAGGGAGTGAGAGTGTGTTGGATTGGCGGGCTACGTTTATCAAATGTTAATTCAGTGGGAGAACGCTTGCGTGTTATTATCTCTTGTGTGATTTACACAAGCATCCCAGCCACTTGTGTTGCCCCCAGGGTTTCTCTCCTGTACACCCTCCCCCTCAGACAAAACCTCAACTAAGATGGCATCCGTTTCCACGGCAATGTTGATGATATTTAACCTGTTAAGCCCCAAGCCTGTTTTTCAGGTCTCAGGCTCGAAAATGACATTTCCAGAACAAATGACCATATCTTCCCTTCTAAAAGGGCAAAATTAATAATCTTTTTTCTCATAGCAATGATACATCTGTGAGTTGGATGTAGAAAAGTCAGAATCAATATAGATGTTTTTTATTTGAAAGAAAATTCCGATTGAACATGGTAAAAAAATATAAATAATAGTGTCTGTCCAAAACAATTGATTTACTTATAAAACCATCCTTGAATGATGGTAAGGTAGACTAAAAGCTTTAGGAATCCAAAGTACAACATATAATAAATGCCCTGTACGCTCTGAAATCTGAAAACTAAAAACTAGGTTTATTGCTGATGGATTAATTGGATTAACGTATGGATTAACCTTCAGCAGCGTTTTTATCGTTTTAATGCCATTGAAGACAACTTTTGATCAGACAACAACAAAGGTAAACAATATTGCCTTGTTTGCTACCTAATGCCACGTGTTGTGATGTCTGTTTTTTTCTAATGTTGCGAGTTCTTATCATGGAGTAATAATACGGATACCTATCAAATCTGTGTAATCTCACGATGCTAATCGATGGGTTGGATTTGCATTTACGATAAGTAATAAGGGTGTTATACCGTGAGTTCTGTGCTAATGTGACCCACACAAAGTGTGTGATCACAATTGTATGTTTATATTTAATATCATTTTATATTACCTGTTTAACAATGGACAGCAGGGGGCAGTAGATGGCAGAGTAACACTGCCATAAAGGGGTTTGTTATTATTTACGCGTCTACCGTAAAATGTCTGACGTGATGACGGAGCTGTCGTTAGCTTGCCATTCTGGCAAGATCCGCCAAACGAGCAGTAAAAGGAATTCTCTGCTCATAATTTCTCGTGTTTTACAGGTCAGTAATGTGTACAGATTGTCACAAGTGTTATAAATCACAATGTCTTAAGTTTTAAGTGGTGTTTAGATGTTGTTTATTATGTTTAATGCCGTGTAGAAGACCACCTCGTGGTGGCTGTGTGTGTATGGGTAATGGCGGTCGCTAGTGATACAAGTGAATTGTTTATAGCTAAGAAGTGTTTTAGGTGTGTTTTGTATGGTGTATGGGTGCTATGGTCAGTCATAATTTAATTATTATAAATGCGTGTTGCTTGATGCTAATGCTAGCATATATTAGACCAATGCTAATACTTTGCCTGAAAAGGTAATTAACAGTGTTTGAATACAGCACCAATATCTGTTTTGAAGCAGTACATGCTTATTTGGAGTCATGATGTTAATGACACTTGGTTATACACAAATGTGTTTATTTTTGAATACTTCAAGCATACAAGTATATTTTGAAGACATGAACATGTGTTTATATTGAGAGCAGTAAAGGGCAAGGACAATTGTGTTTTGTGCCAATTGTTAATAAATTCTGGCAAAATCCGCCAAACGAGCAGTAAAAGGAATTCTCTGCTCATAATTTCTCGTGTTTTACAGGAAATACTATCTGTCATCGCGCCCTGCATAGCGGGGCCTGTTACACTAACGGCGTTAAGATTTTTTCGCTCAGGGCTAATTCAGAGGCTCAGCATTAGGCTTGTGTTATTTTTTGCTAAAAATGGTTCATATCATCAGTTAGCTGAGTTTCTTCCCGTTACATGGATATGAAACATTCATAGTTTATTAAATATTAAGAAGCCCTCAGACGCTGTTTCCTGCAGATGATGCATTTCCCCCCCCGGCGGGCGGATGGGGTTCAACAGGTTAACCTCACTTCCCCTCCAAGACCGTCACACCTACCACCCTGTCAATTCTAAACGCCTTTAGGTCCTACCCGGCCGATTTTTTCACCATATTGTAATGTTGTGTTTTATTACATTCTGCATTAAATGTATTAGTGCGGCAGCAGTTATTCCAAAAACGTCTGTCTGCGACCGCATTTTTCTGGGTCATGCATGTCTGTACACCCACTACTGTTATGTTGGCAGGGCCATCCCTGGTCAACATGAGGCCCCACGCAAAACTGATATGATGAGGCCCTCTGTTTCGCGAGCGTCGAAGGGGGGGGGGGGGGGGGGGGGGGGGCGCAAACCGTGCCGCGCCACACTAATTGCGCTGCATACAGCGCATTTTCGGCAAGGTGAGGCCCCACGCAGTCTGCATGATCGGCCTGTAGGGAGGGACGGCCCTGTATGTTGGGCAGAACACATTTTTTTATTTTAAGATAAGTATTTAAATGTAATGTAATGATTTAGAATTGTTCAAACTAACTTTCTACTGATAAACTCAGATCACCAGTTATGACATATTTTTATTCCAATTTAGTTTTTTTTTAATTAATTTCATTGCATTGTGTTTTTTTTATTTGTGTATGTTTGTTTGGATGTTGGGATGAAATGTTTTTTAAATGTAAAAGTGTCTTTGAGTAATGAGATAAAAAGAGCTATGATACATTTAAATGTGTTAAATAATAATTATTACCCTACTAAATCCAGTGCCACAAGGACCTCAAATTAATATAACAGGAATTTTAAATGAACATAAAATTCAAAAGTTTAAAAATACTACAGAAAGAACTGACCTCCTGTCCCACTCGTACATTATCACAAATCCCTTTGCTGTCCCCTGCTGGTCCTGCACCATCGCAGTTAGGGGTGTAGACAACTCTCACATGCTCAGGCAGATTGTCATGGGTCACAGTCACTTTGGATGACAACCTCTGCCATGGAGTGCACATTCAAGAGGGTTGGATAAAACAAAAACGTGTGAGGAAAATAACTGACAGATGCACACCCAACTAAAAGGAGAATGTGATAAAAGGACATCTTACTTTGTAGGCCTCCTTGATCAATTGAACCACATTTTTAGAATCTGAGGACAGAACTCCCACCTCGGATTTTGGAATCATTTTAGTGAGTTGCTGGGATAAAAAACAAGGTTAAATGACAAACAATTAGCATAAGAATGAAATGTGTGAACTATGAATAAATAAAATGAGGCGTAAAAACAAAAGGTACATTTATTTTACCTTGTACACATCCTCCACATTTTCTGTCACTGCAAATATCGGCTGAATATTGTTTTTTTCCAACTGCATGGCTAGTTGTCCAACAGATGGGTAGTCCTGTACACAACAATCCAAGAAATCAGTGACATTTTGTAAACCTTATGTTACAAACCTTAAATAACTATTTAAGGTGCTAACCTCACTACACAAGTTTTTCAACAATGTATTACAATCTTGGTAACCATGCCACTGCAACAAATTAATTCAGAAATCAGAATCAGAAATCCTCCACATCGGGGACATTTACATTGTTACAGCAAAAGTGGCATACAGTAGCAGGTACACACATATTGTTTATGTGACTCCATACCATTTCAATGCTTTTGGTGTACAAGCTGTTTTCTATGTAGCACTGTTCATCATTGGGTTCCAGTATGTGGAATCCGGCATCAGTGGTCAGCACAATCAGCCGAGTGCTGCTGTTCCTCCAACCTATTCTGTCCTAAACAAGGGACAATTTAAGTAAGAACAAACATTTGAATTTTTTGCTTTAATAAAACCCTGTGATCTCCCATATCAGCCTCCTACAAAGTACCTTCAGGGTTTCCCACACATAGACTATACCTGGGCGGGCCGCCCAGGTATATTAACGGCCGCCCAAGTATATTTCGCGACCCATTTAGTTTTTTTTTTTTTTTTTTCTACATTTTTTTTTTAATGTTTTTTTTTTTGTATTCGTCCGTGACCACGACGCCATCTGCGATCGATTAACTTGTAGACAATGATCCCTCGCTCCCTTGCTCTGATTTCGCCTCCTTCTGGCCTGTTAAGTGGCCTGCCTCACACAGGGTGACTGGCTGTCCACATGATGCCGACATGGCCACTGTCATACAGATCATAAATCAAAGCCCTTGATTGGTCTCTGTGTGTCATTCAAGCTCGGGATAACCTCAGCTCAGGTGAGGTAAAGGACTCTCTGAGTGTTTAGATAGTTAACTTAGTCTAAGTTCTCAGTGGGTCTCAAACGGTGTGGTCACCATTTATGTAAACACATATTTCCATTTGAGAGGGTAGTGATTGGTCTAATGGATAGTGAGGTGGGCTGAAGATCGGAAGGCTGTGAGTTCAAATCCCGCCAGGAACACCACCACTACTGTGCCCTTGAGTAAGGCACTTAGCCCTTAGTTACTCCAGGGAGAATGTCCCTGTAATCGGTCATTATAAGTCGCTTTGGATAAAAGCGTCAGCTAAATGAAATGTAATGTGATTAGTAAAATATGCATGAATAAATAAATAAAAAGTTAACTAGGTGAAAAAAGGTAAGATACACTTTTAAAACTTGTTGAGAGAAAACTAGTCTTTGCTGCTGCCTCAAAGAGGAGGGGGGGAGAGGAGGGAGACAGGAGAGGCTGATTCAGGAGCACAGACACACTCACAACTATAAATGAACCAAAAATAAATTAACAAGTTTCAGTGTTTTTTTCATATTGGAAATGGGATGTTATTGGTTATGGCCTTGATTTTATGATTATTGAAATGTATACAGTTCTGTTTCATATAGGTGTTTCCATAGATCTAGTCTCTTTATTTTCCCCTCAAAATGCACCAGATTGATGCATTTAACTCCAAAATAAAAAATAAAATCTTACCGGGGGGGCATGCCCCTGGACCCCCCTAGAGGATTTGAGGTCGACCCCCACTAAAAATCACATGGATAGGTTCCTAAATACATTAATAAATACATTAATTTTTTTAAATAGTAGCCCATTTCCATATGTTCATGTGTGGGTAGTAGATTTAAACTATAGGGCTATCATTATGGGCCCTGCCTGTACCTGTTCGCTCTGCCATCGCGTGAAGGGTCTGCTAACAAGCGACCAACAGAAAGGTTAATGTTGTTGCACGTCACCTCAACCCCCCCCGCTACCACCACCCCCCAAAGTATATTTCAGATCTGTGGGAAACACTGGCAGTTAATGGACCAGCACCAGAGGCATTCCCATACACACAGGCGTTGGAGCTGTTCTTCATGAAATCCCAGAAGGATGAAGTGCTCTGACAAACAGTGCCATCTTTGCGCAAAATGATTATACCGGAATGAAAAGTCAATAAATAATGTTGTTAAAACTTTTTTTTTTTTTTCGCGCACCCCCCCCCCCCCCCCCCCCCCCCCCTCCTTGCCACCACCCGCCCAAGTATATTTCATATCTGTGGGAAACACTGACCTTTAAACCCAAGTAAGATGCATTGTGAAAAACATTTGTGAGTAACTACAATGAGGATGTTGTAATGCTTTTGGTCCGAGGTTTAGGATACCAGATACACAGGCAAGGGAAAGATTGTGTTTTTAGTTTGGATATAAAACGTTTTTTTGACATTGTGATTGTGTTAAAGACAAAATGAAATGATGAGGATGGTAAGCTTTTGTTGGGCTGCATTTTACATCTTGATATATGAACCATCTAGAGATGATGGGATAAATGTACAAATGATGTGATCTACTCTTCCTATCTCGAAGATAGGCTTCTCCTTTGTACATAAACAGAATACTTTCTCCTGTTATACCTATTCTAGCTATTCTTGCCTCCTCAGATCACAGGCCCTTTGATGTTAGAAACAATTACATCAAGCCTAATTTTACATGTGTCAGGACACATGAAATATATTTATATATATATATATATATATAAGTTTTGACAATGTCATTAGGTTCATTAGTTATACTTCAGAATTAAGTATTCAGTATTTTCACTTGTAGTATTATAATAATTGAAATGCTGGTTCTTCTGCGGGTGTTCTATCCACGCTCAGCTACCGCACCGCAGCTGCCTGCATTGTACAATCGCTGGAGGACTGGGCTGTGACTCAAAAACTGAGTAGCCAATGGGGAAGCACCCCTGAAAGTCCCGCCCACCTGGGACGTTTGTGTCAGAATCGAAAACAAAAAGTGAAGGAGCGCAAAAGAGAGAGCTGCAGCGAGAGCAAAAGTCTGATCTTTGAGAAAGAAGAAACAAGAACTGAAAACAGAAACCTGTTAAAACAAAGAAAAAAGACTTATAGTTTACATGATTACACGAATGATTTGTTTGCGACTTATAGTTTTATTTTGGAAATGTATTTTATTTTGCTTGACTCAGTTTTTATTTCTTTTAAACTCATAGTTTTGCTTTATTCTGAGAAAGTGTTGCTTTATCTTTATGATACAAAACTAATCCCATATTTTAGTACCTTTAAGTGACAATTTAATTAAAAAACATAAACAGTATTTGCTTTTATATGGTAATGAACAGTTTAATCTCCACTGTACATCCGGGTCTCTGATTTGATTTAGTTCCAATAAATCGTAATATTGCAAGCTTTTTTTTGGAGGGGGGCCACAGGGTGGTCCCTGGTCAGTGTTAGGGGGGCACTGGCCCCTGTTGCCCCCCCTAGAACCCCCTATGGTTATACATACAGTATATAACATATTTACACGTTTCATTCATTCAGAATTAATGTGGATTCATACAAATGGGAAGAATAGAGAGGCTGACTGCGAACAAAGTTTTACTTGATGTTTGCCACATTTATAAAGCCTGCATGAAACAACAGCACAGGAAGGCATGGGGCAAAGTCTCTATGTCAGCCCACTTTATGAAAAATGTGTAGTTTGGTCAGGGCAGACACACTTTAATAACATCCTCTGGCATCATAAACACTCTTCATAGAGTCAGTGCAGTCGGATTCTCAGAACACTTGTCCTGATTAATTCTCCTTCATATCTCTCCTTAACCCTGTGATGTTTTTCCGTGGGGTTAAGAATGGTGATGAGGTAAAAAAATAGGAGCTGATTTATTTTTACAACTCGACTGCAACCATAATCTCAGTTTTCCATATGTGGTGCTCATCCTTTGTTCTCCTTGACTACGCTGCAATAAACCTTGGTAAAGCAAGTTCTATTTCGTCCCTACTGACCGCCAGAGGCGGTGCTTTAGCACTGGATATGTATCGCACGCATGCGCAGTTCGAGTACCTAATAACAACAAAGTCACCTGTGACCCATGTGACGACGGATACATAGGCCGGCGTCATTAGCGGATCGGCTCCTTTTCATCTTCTCGCTTCGCGAGAGTACCGCGGCTACATTCTTGTAGCCTACAGCGTTCAGGTTTGAACGTTTGATCTGAGGGATTTCTCGGCAAGAAGCTGGCCGCATGCAGCTTCACGACTGACAGTCGGAGCTACGGGTTGTTAACGCGTCCTCCAGGAGCTGTGGCCGGCTGTGCGCTGTGCAGAGCCTCCACGGACAGGTTTGTGTCAACTTGTTGCTGGTGATGGTTGTGTCCCCGCACCCTCTCCCAGCTAAATTGTCCTGATTGCTGTCTTATTTATTGTTTGGCTTACCCCTAGATTCCACCGGGTCCGTCTGCGGCCTGCTACGGGCGCGTTACGGGCGCGTTACGGCTCAGAAGCGTCCCAGAAGCGTCCCAGAAGCGTCCCAGAAGCGTCCCAGAAGCATCCCAGAAGCGTCCCAGAAGCGGCTCGGCGCAGGGCTCCTCTAAAATTAGGACGAATCCTATTTTTGTCGCGGCGCAGCTGTAACATAGGCAGTAAGTGGAACGGTCAGAGCATCTGGGCCAGGCCCATCCCCCACATATACTAATTTTGCAGACCCCCCCTCCTTCATCACAACACCTTCACTACGACACGCACAATATACGAGGAGCTTTTCATTCTGGAGGTGGAAAAACACACTATTTTATATGATGTAACCAATGCTTTTTACAAGGACAACATCAGAAAGGACAAGGCCTGGTTTTTAATCGCTGGAGTATATAGCATATATACACACATAAACTAATTTTGCAGACCCTATCCCTCCGTAGTCTTTCAAGTAGGAGGAGAAATGCCAGCATTCTCTTCCGGTTTACAGGCACTGTGTACATTATATATATATATAATAATTATGATGATAAATGCATTTTCTTACCACTAAAATACAGCAACACATCTTTGATTCAGGTCGTTTATAACTGGGATATTATAATTATTATTAACTTTGTCTGTACAAAGTAGTCTGTCCAGGAAATATGCCCAAATCAACAAAAACTGCGAGCCGGCAGGCAAGACGCTCCGCTTCTGAAATGCTTCTGAAACGCGTCCGGTAGGGTATGACGCCGGACCAAAACCGCGGCGCAGCCGTAACACGCCGCAGACGGACCCGTTGGAATCTAGGGGTTAGACTTTCTGGTGACGACAGTGTTCCCGCTTCCCATAAAGTTGCCCTTATTATGCTCTTTTGAAAGTTCTGCTTGAGGTGTTGTGCCCGAGCCTCATTAGCATTTGAGTTCCCAGCTTTAGCTGCGTCTCTCATTCAATTTAGTATGGAAAGCCCAGGGTGCCATATTTTGCCCGTTTTTGGTTTAGAGAGTAAGGTAAGTACTGGCCATAGTTACTACTGTAACTACGGTCCTATGCCATGTAAGCACTGGCCACGGTTACTACTGTGACCATGGCCTACGGTTCTATGCGGGCTGTTCTCTTTCTTAGAAGCTAATTATCTGGTCTTAACATTTGTGTTTTGACTTGGTTGCTTGATTGTTAGCAGCAGCCGCAGCCGCTTGGCTAACACCTTGCATGTACTGTTAAGCTTAATTATTTAACTCAGCCGGTGAGGGCAGTGCTCTCGCTCCCACTCCCAGTAACGTATGGTTTTGATTGCAGTAGCGCTATATCGTTGTATTTACTGCTCCTAGTACTAGACTCCTAGCACTAGGATGATATGCAGAGAACAATCTTCACTGTGTGTGTGCTGTGTGCTCTGCATGTGTGGCCATTAAAGAGGATTTCATCCTCCCAATATTATATTATCTAGTGTGCAGCCGTTTGGCTGACACTTTTAGGCACCGGCCACAGTTACTACTGTAACTACGGTTCTAAGCCGTGTAAGTACTGGCCATAGTTACTACTGTAACTATGGTTCCAAGCCGTGTAAGTACTGGCCATAGTTACTACTGTAACTACGGTTCCAAGCCGTGTAAGTACTGGCCATAGTTGCTACTGTAACTACGGTTCTATGCCGTGTAAGTACTGGCCACAGTTACTACTGTAACTACGGTTCTAAGCCGTGTAAGTACTGGCCATAGTTACTACTGTAAATATGGTTCCAAGCCGTTTAAGTACTGGCCATAGTTACTACTGTAACTACGGTTCTATGCTTTGTAAGTACTGACCATAGTTACTACTGTAACTACGGTTATATGACGTGTGAGCACTGGCCATGGTTACTGCTGTAGCTACGGCTCTGTGTTGTTCTCTTCTTTAGAAGCTAGTTATCTGGTCTTACACATTTGTGTTATTTGACTTTATCTCGCTTGATTGTTAGCAGCAGCCGCTTGGCTAACGTCTTGCGTGTACTGTTAAGCTTCATTATTTAACTCAGCTGGTGAAGGCAGTGCTCCCGCTCCCGGTAACGTATTGTTTTGATTGTTAGCAGCAGCCGCTTGGCTAACATCTTGCATGTTTTGTTAAAGCTTCTTTATTTAAACTCAGCTGGTGAAGGCAGTGCTCTCGCTCCCACTCCCTGTAACGTATTGCTCTGATTGTTAGCAGCGGCCGCTTGGCTAACATCTGGCGTGTTCTGTTGAGCTTCATTGTTTAACTCATCCAGTGAAGGCAGTGTTTTTCGCCCCCGCTCCTGGTAGACGTGCTGCTTGATTCTTAGCAGCAGCCGCCTGGCTAAGCTGCCCCGTTAAGCTTCTTTATTTAATCCAGCTAGGTGAAGGCAGTGCTCTCGCTCCCACTCCCTCTGCTAGTAACGTGGGTGTAGGTCATTCACATCCCTCTCTGTGTTCGGTGAGTAGGAGCATTGCTCTACTCTTTCCGTTCAGCAGGTAGCCGGTGAAGGCTGTGTTCTTGCACCCGCTCCCGGGTACGCTGCACCTGGCATTCGTTATGAACTCAACCAGTGAAGGCAGTGTTCTCGCCCCCGCTCCTGGTAGACGTGTTGCTTGATTCTAGTAGCAGCCGCCCGGCTAAGCTGTCCTGTTAAACGTCTTTATTTAATCCAGCTAGGTGAAGGCAGTGCTCTCTCTCCCGCTCCCTCTGCCGGTAACGTGGGTGCAGTTACATCTCTCTTTGTGTTCGGCGAGTAGGAGCATTGCTCTACTCTTTCCGTTCAGCAGGTAGCTGGGGAAGGCTGTGTTCTCGCACCCGCTCCCGGCTACGCTGCATCTGGCTACCTACAGACTGGCTCATTCATGTAGCGACTGTATGGCTTCTCTTGAGCCCGAGGACGGCCATGACCGCTGCCCCCCTCTGCCTTAGCCTTGAGCATTTGAGGGAGGGTCTCACGCAAAGCGCCTGCATGAGCTGTAGATTCATGCCTCGGGCGCTCAGAGTGGCTAGAGTCGCAGAGGTGGTACCTCTCCTCGTCACAACTTCCTCCAGCTCAGTCTGGCCGTTCCCGGCGACTTGATAGAGTGATGGCTATGGGTTCACCCCCCAGGTGGAGGGCTAGAAACAGGCTGTCCTCTAAGGTGGGTCGGTTATCTGCCGTCATGGAGCAGACGAAGTCGCTCCTGTTGGCCCTTCAGCCAGGGGGCAGTGTGGGGGCTACTAGCTTGCTGCCTGGCCCTCCTTCGGTTGCCACACCTCTGCTTGAGGATGTCATGTCGCTAGCGGCTCCGGCTAAACCTCTTCACCCCCGAGGAGGCTTCCCACTCCTCTGCTCAGAGCTCTCTGCAGAGCAGGGAGGACGCCTCCATGGCGGCCATTATTCGTGCAGCCCTGGTACGCTTGCAGCTTCAGGTTCCGCAGGCCGATTCGGCTCAGGCTAGCGCCTTCTTCAGGCATAACCCTGCCCCTTTTAACTCCCACTGTTCCTCCTTCAGAGGAGTACCTCAGGGAGCTCCATGCATGCTGGAGAGACACCAGGGCCATCTCCCACTCTGCTGCCATGCAGAATCCGGCGAGGGTGGTCGCTTGCCATCCATTGAGCCTGCCATCGCCTCCCCGATTCTGGCTCCTGATGCCAGGTGCCCTCGGCCTCAGTGCAGGGTCACAAATGAGCTGCTCTGTAGGGCCTACGACACAGCGGCACGGGAACTCCCTCTCCCATCTGATAATGGCTGTCTCTACCTCTCTGCACCAGGCTCTGTCTGAGCCTTCTTTGCTGGGCCTCAGTGATGCATCACTGTAAGCCTTTGCCCTAATGTCTAGGGAATGGGGACGAGTTATGTCCTTATTGGTGCAGACTCGTCGCCAGGTTTGGCCTGCTCAGTCACCACTGTCGGAGACATGTCCTCCGTAGTGTGCCAGTCGAGCTGTTTGGGGCGTGCTGCCCAAGCTAGGCAGACCATGCAGCAGCTCTCGGGTCTTCATAGGCCTGTGCCCACTCCCAACAGGCCCAGGGGCCCCTCTAGCAGCCACTCTCAGCCACCAGCTTACAGTGGTGGTCTGCGCAGGTCCCAGCGGCCCACTCATCCACCTCCCGGGGGCTTTCGTGCCGCTGGCCTTCTAGGCGGCCTAGTGCGAGATTCGGAGGCCGGGGGGTTAGGTCGTCGGCTGCTTTCCCAGCAGCAGCTCAGTTATTGGGCTGTCTGTACTTCCGGCTCTTGGGTGGTTTTCACCTTAACCCAGGGGTACAAACCGCAGTTCCGGCCCCTAGCCTTCGGCCGGGCCAAAATGACAGAGGCCCTAGCTCTGGCCCAAGAGTTGTCCGTCCTTCTGTCCAAGGACGCAATCGAGCCAGTAGACCCTCTGCTTAGCCCAGGGGGTTCTACTCGGCGTACTTTCTCGTGAGCAAGAAATTCGGCGGATTTCGCCTGATCTTGGACCTCAGAGGAATCAACAGCTTCCTGAAGGTGCTGCCATTCTATATGCTGACCACAGCACATGCACAGGATTCACAGTGGTTCTCAACCGTGGACTTGAGGGATGCCTACTTCCACGTGGGCCGGGCAAGATGGTGCCTTATATTCAGTTCCTCCGGCCTTTGGGCAGACTGACGGCTGCCTCGGCCATTGGGTACCCTTAGGCCCGCTATCGTTGCGCCTCATGCAGATGTGGCTGAACAGCCTTCACTTGGACGCCAAGTGGCACAGGCACTGGAAAGTCAGGGTGTCGCAGCGTTGCCTCCACTCTGTCACGCTGGAGGGGCAGGGCCTATCTCCTGATGGGCGTGCCCATGGGCGCCATCCCATCCCGCCAGGAGACCGTCACCATAGGTGCATGTCTCTCAATGTGGGGTGCAGTGTGAATGTATGTGGCTGTTATTTCTGCCCGACATGTTCGGGTCTACTGCGCCACGGCGGGGTGCCACAAGTCGGTGTCCCTCTTCCTGAGAGGGGCTTTACGGCAGCATCCCCCTAGCACCCCGAGGGCTCCGGCTTGGGACCTGCCCCTGCTGCCGGATGCCCTATCATCTCCTCCCTTCGAGCCCCTGGCCCAGGTGGGGCTTAGGTGGCTGCCCACGAAGGCAGCATTTCTGCTTGCCATAGCCTCAGGGAAGCGAGTTGGGGAGTTGCATGTCCTCTCCATAAACGATACATGCCCGAGGTGGGACTCTCAGGTGTTGCCCTTTGGGCAAATGTGGCATTCCTGCCCAGGTTGCTTCCACAAACCCACTTCAATTAGCCTGCCCAGCTGGCACGCTTTGACATTCAGGAGAACGGCACGTTGAAGTTGCTGTCCCCTATGGGTGCCCAAAGGGCGTATATTGAGGCTACTGCCTATATATGGCAGTAGGAGCAACTCTTGATTCTGCCACTAAAGGAGGTTGTGCCCTCTAATCAGTGGCTGCCCCACTGGGTTGTCGATACCATCTCACATGCCTACGGGGCCGCCCCCCTGCCATCAGGGCTGAGATGCCACTCTACAAGGAGCATCTCAACATCTTGGGCTGCCCTGAGAGTGGTGCCCCTGGAGACTATCTGCGCCGCGACATCGTGGGCATCTTCTGGCACATTCTCCAGATCAGGTTAATGTCGCCACTCCCCATTCTTTGGGCGTGGTCCTTTTGCCGAGCTCCGCTGCTTCCAGTGAGCAAGGGCTTGGATTCTTCATGACATGGTTGGTATAGGTCATCAAGTGCTAAAGCACCGTCTCTGGCGGTCAGTAGGGACGAAATAGAACGATAATTACGGCTGTAACTACGGTTCTATGAGTCCCGGATGACCGCCAGAGTTTCCTGTCACTCAGAATTCTTGTGTGCTCGCGAGAAGATTCTGGGAGCCGATCCGCTAATGACGCTGGCCTATGTAGCCGTCGTCACATGGGTCACAGGTGACTTTGTTGTTATTAGTTATTAGTGCGATGGACATATCCAGTGCTAAAGCACCGCCTCTGGCGGTCATCCGGGACTCATAGAACCGTATTTACAGCCGTAACTATCGTTGGTCTCCTACATTTTCTCTGGTTTCCAGTAACTCTGCTCACAGTAGTTTTCCTAAACACGGAACCAATTTCAATATAGAAAGACAACAACAGTCACATAATTCATACTACCATTCTCTGTAAATTATAATTTCAGTTAAATTCTAAAGTGTTACCAAATAATAGACAATTGTATTTTTGATGATTTAAATTGTCAGATTAACATTTCAATCGTATTACCTATTTGAGCATATTCAGTGATACTATTCAGAGCTGCAAAAAGATATTTTCCCAGTTCTTTGACATTTGCCAAGTCATCTTTCATGGAGTAGGACAGGTCCATCAGGTAGTAGAGATCAACAGGATAACCCCGAACTCTTTTGAAAGAAACCCTGAATGTGGTAGGAAGCCCTGTAAAAACAAAAAAGAAACACACAAACAGAAAAGAAAGAAAACTGCTCAAGCATATTTGACGTTTAGTGCCCGTAGTTTTTACAATTTGTCAAATCAAATTTGATGATAGTGGCTATTTAAGAACTTTTTTTTGACCAGCCAACACAGGCAACAAATCACTGTAGTTCCTTCTGTTCACAAATGTCCGCATCAACTGATTCCACTCACCAGGTCGCAGTCTCAAACTAATCTTCTGTGGACTCAGCTGAACAGGCTCCCGTTTGTCGAATGACACAGACAGAGGATCTTCCTTCACAATGTCTAGAGCAGTGGTTCTCAACTGGTGGGTCGCGACCCGTTTCGAGTGGGTCGCGGATGTGTGAGTTTTTTTTTTTTTGGGGGAAAAAAGTCAAACTTTTATTTTGAAGGGCCAATTTTCTAACACTGTGCATGCAGTAGGCGTTGGACTGGAAGTACCGGAGACCAGTAGTCACGTAGTGATCATCTTCTCAATACAACATCTTTGCTGATGTTTTTTCGAGTCTTCTGGCCTTTGATCAGAATCAAGATTGTTGCCGGAAGTCCCCACGGAGAATAACTTTGGCGTAGAACTATTCTTTATACATCCATGGGTACAACTTCAGATAAAAATGAACAAATAATGAAATATGACCCCCGGTTTGATGATTGACAGGTCACAGAACAATGGGGGCTATCTACCCTTACCCACAATTTAAAGTAATTCACACAGACTATCTCCTCTTTGCTCTTCTCTCTGTGAGGAGCAGCAAGCTGTCAGAACTAAGTGAAAAACAAACAATGGCATAAAATATTATTAATATGTCGGGTAGTAATAGATGTATTTATTTTCTTCTCAGTGTACCAGAATGCGTAGTTTATATGTTAGTATTTCTAAAAATCTCCTGGGGGAGAATCCCCCCAGACCCCCCCTGCTGGGGTTGGGTTTTCAGCATGTGTGACTTTTTATACAGTTCAGCTTTGATTCCATCATCTTATAAACCTTTTTTAAAAGCATACTTTAGTTCTGTGAAGGGATATATGCACTGTACTTCACTTGAATTATTATTGTATGCTGAAAAGCGTATATATTACAGCACGATTTTTTGTTGAATAGATTTGAGTGCTTCAAAATGTTGGGTCGCGATTTATTTACCAAGTAAAAAGTGGGTCCCGAGGCCTGACCAGTTGAGAACCACTGCTCTAGAGTGTTCTTCGGGGAGATGATTTCTTCCCTCTTGCAGCCTCTCTTCATCAACTGAGCATTGGTGTCACAGCGCACTACTTCCTGCTCACCTGCTTTTGTAAAATTCTGTACGAAGAGGATGAAAAACACATGAAAGATATATTATATTCACTCATCTGTGTCTGCCTATTATGTTGTTACTATTACTTCTTGCATATGGTTTGAGCAAACTAGTCTACTCAGGCTTGGGGAGTGACATAATACATAGAACCGCAGAAGGTTCCTGGTATTCCAAAAATCCTAGCATTCAGGATTAGAAATGTAAATAATTGATTAGCCTCCTTTGACCTGTGCTGTACAAACATGTTTTACCTTTGTTTTTATTTGAAATCACATATTGGTAGACTAGCTTCAAGGACTATTGTAATTATGTATTATCAAGCTGTATCAAAACGTCTCTTAAGACGATTTGTTGATTTAAACCGCTTCAGCACGCGTATTGACAAGAACAAGAAAAGTGGTTCCCAGAGGCTCTAAAAATACAATGAGGCCAAAAGCATATTGCTATGAAGATCCTCTTCTGTGGAACCAGCTTCCAGTCTGTGATCAGGAGGCAGAAACCCTCCCCACTTTTAAGAGTAGGCTTAAGACCTTACTATTTGATAAAAGCTTATGGTTAAGGCTGTGTCCTTTATGTTGATAATTATCCACATGTCCAACCCAGTCTCACATCTAAACGTGTAATAACTACGTTGGTCCACAACTTGGGACGTAGCATTTCTATAAAAACCCCTCTGAAATTGTAGGATCCCTACGTTTTTTTTCACCATTCATTTCCAATGGCTGGCATCTATGTTACTTCAAATTTCTCCCTGCAGAAAAAAACAACATGGCCGACTAGAGATGTCCCGATCCGATCACGTGATTTTTAAAAGATCGTAATCGGGAGAAAAAGATCGGGGATCGGGAATCTTTTCTTTTTTTTTTTTTAGAATTACAATTTTTATTTTTTTTATTTAATGTTACAAAACAAAAATGACCATGTTCACGTCTTAAAGTCACCCTGAGGCCTTAGTTTTGGTTTAAAATTACACAACATCATGTATGTGTTGCATAGGCGGCTGGTGGCAAATATATTTGGTGGGGCTGTTGATATAGTGAGTAAAACATTTTTTTTTGGGAGAAATGACCCCTTAAATTAGGACTTCTGGTGATGTAATGGCGCGTTTCCAGTGCAGCGCGGAGCTCGCTTTAATGCTGCATTCAGACCGGACGTGATGCGAATATTCGCTTCGCTCTAAATGCTCCTATCGCATCGCTCTAGTCGCTCGAGTTTCACCGCGGCTGCCAGCTGTGTTTACTCGCATCATTCAAACAAGACGCGCTGGCTCGGGAGCTACAACTACAACAAAATGAACATATTTTACCGTGATTAAATTGTAATACACGTTTCTAAATGATGCCGACGTAACAACATACTGATACCGGTTAGTAAAAACCATGAATTAATGCTTTGACAAGTCTGCAGACAGACGGCAGGCGAAAAACCTTTTAGAATGCTTGTTTTCTGAATGGAGCTTGGCTAAGCTAACGTTATATATGCTCCGACCGTCCACACTCACAACAACGGCCTATACAGACATAAATAAACCAGCGACTGTATTCTCCATGACACAGACAGTCTGTGGTTTGTACTTGTTTAACTTTTGTCTAGTTTCTGAACAGATCGTATCTGTCCCCGGCTGTTTGAAGAGCAAGCATGGGAAACAAAAGATAGCATTTACCTGTTTGCATCCAGCTATCCATGCCTTTCTGGTGTACCAGCTACGTGAGAAGCCTCTTTGATACGTTTTGTCTTTTTCACGAGCTTGCTGTGATATATACAAATCGGGTTGGTCCGGTCCAAGGTCTTTAAGTATCAATTTATCTCCCAAACTTCTCCTTTAGAAAGGATTGGAGAGTAGCTCTTGCACGGAATTGGGTGCGGACCGAGGTCCGGCGACTCCACCTGCACACCATTCTCATCCAACTTCTGCGTCACCTTGGTCACTCATGAGTCTAAAAAACAACTCACGTCAACGCACGTAAGCAACGTGGGCGCCAACGTGAGCGCCCTCGTGACCAAAATATTTGACGCCGCTGATTGGCTGAAATTATGTTTCGGCAGCACAGTTTACTATTGAGACTTTTGCAACATGCTGGTTGCTGCTGTTTGTCTCGGGGGCTCCGCCCGGTAATGATAAACTAATGCCATGGGCAAGGCCAGGCAGGAAACATGTGACTTATCAGTAACTTTAGACATCGTAACACAATTTTAAACGAGATTTTATTGTAGATTATACATTTTACTGATACCAATTGTATGATATTTACCTTGTTCATTAAAAAAAAAATATATAAAATATATATATTTAAAAAAAAAAAAAATTTAAATTTTTTTTTTTTTTAATTTACATTTTTTTTTTTTTTATTTCATATTTTTTTAAACTTTTTTTTTTTGTACATGGGAAGAGGTGGGGCGGCGCCCCTAGCGCCCCTATGAGCCGGCCGCCACTGATGTGTTGCATCTTTTGGGCTTGTTTTCAGACCTGGTTGCTTATTTCTCTCAAATCTGGCAACAGAGTGGACAGGGCGCAGTGTCTAATAGTAGCAGTAAGCTAACGAGAGGCTACGTTCAGCTGGTGACTCGGGAGTAGGGACAGAGAAAATGTCAGCAGTTTGGAAGTATTATAAAATTGAAAGCGAAGGCAGTGTAACAGCCAGATGCAATGTTTGCAAGAAGGAGGTTCCGCGTGGTGGAAAGAACAGAGCTACGTTCAACACGACCAATCTAATACGCCACCTGAGAAACAAACACCAACAACAACACGGCGATTACACTAGGGCTGTACCCGAATATCCGAATATTCGTTCGTTGGAGTACTATTCGGGTTTCAATTTCGTTATTCGGAAATTCGTTTTGTTTGTTTTTTCATTTTTTTCCCCGTTTAAAAAAAAAAATTGAATTTATTGAAATCTCCAATATCAACGTAAGAGCTTGTGCCTCTTCGGGGGGTGCTAACACTTAACCATAAACGTTATCGTTTACTTTCTCCTTCTTTATATGTAGATATTACTTTTCTCCGTTACTCTCCGTCACGTTGTTTCCAAAGCAACAACAACTTCCTGTCAACAGCGCTACCTCTCCTTCAAAATAAAAGCATGTCCACAAATAGGAAGCCACGCCAAATTACACTTAAGACATATACAACTGCAACGAAAGTAACAAACACAATGCGATATCCTTTTCAATTTCAAAGAACACAAATTGGGTTACATTAACAAATAACTATAAAACAACAATACTGTAGAATAACAAAATGAATGCCGTGAATACACCGAAACACACGTGTTGAAGTGGTTCGCTGCTGATTACTATTGAATTGTGTTACTCCAGTAAGATGGAAATATAATACTTTGTTTATTCATGTTATGTTAAGCTGCTGTTGTTCATTGCATTATTACTAGACTAGTTAGTCTTAAGGCTAGAATTCTGCAGTAAGCCACATTTTTATTTTATTATTTGTGACTGAATGTGAACTTGTGAAGCTAGTCAAGCTACCTCTTTCCAGTAGATGTATTATTGTTTTGTTACTGCACTATCTGCACTCAATTTGTTTACATGGTTATTTTGTGGTGGACCACTGATAAGCATTATTTTGTTTTGATCCAATGCTGCACAACTGAACTGATCCAATGCTGCTGTGAAAAAAAGAAGCTATATCCATGTTGGATAAAATGGATAGTTGGGTACTGTCATTTAAATAAAATAAATAACCTTAAGGGACAACTTGAATGCTTTTTTCCTTTTTTTTCTCTTAATGCATTGCATAAAGATCGGATCGGGAAAAATCGGTATCGGCAGATTGTCAAAATCAAATGATCGGAATCGGATCGGGAGCAAAAAAAGGTGATCGGGACATCCCTATGGCCGACCTTCGTTTTATTCTCGGTGGAAAATGCCTATTTTAAGGTTAGTTTGGCCATTAAAATGCGTTTTGATGTCATTTGATGCGAGAAATATGAGTTGTTATTTCAGATTATGTGTGCAGTGGATGCACATGATCTTTACTTTGCTAGTTATTACGAAGATTACTTCAGGAAATTGTGTCCATACAACGTTTTCATTGTTACCAAGGTGGTTGCTAGGGACGCTGCTATCGATATTATTTCTGTTATGTTGTGTAACTGTTTAATGGTGTTATCTTTATTGCTACCCCTTTCCCCGTCAATTTATAGTGTTGGTCCACAGCGCAAACATTATTAGTTTCCCCTGTGCAATTCTCCAACCCAGTCTCACATCTCACGTTACATACCGGATACCGGAAACAGACGTAGGCAAGATCCTCAGCTCGGTGATTGGATGGTTTTGCACGTTGGGAAATGGTGTTTATGCGATGTGAAATCCGAAAACATTTTTTAAAAATAAAATAATGCTTTATTCCGAGTGTGCTTGCTTTTCTCTTTGAATGTCATCACATAACGGCATTGTAATACACGGTTCGGCTGCATTGAATATTACATATCTGCCGTAGTTCTCTATTTATAGAGCCCTGCTGAGAAGACTTCTAGACAAACAGGAGGAACTTCTGCCAAAACTGAATACGTGACGTGGATCATAAATATATCAGCAATTAAACAACATCTTACATTTATTTTCACACAATACGTCTCCTTGCAGTATCAACACTAATTCGGCTGACTTTTATATTTGATCCAATTGGTAGTGTACTGTTCTCGTTTCAACGTGTGGATATTGAATTTAACAGCCAGCTAAACTCTCCTTAGCATCATTCCTCCAAGGAACAGGCAGGTGTTGTATTTGGCAGGGATTTTAATGCTAAGAAGTGTGAAACTGAAACAAAATACATTTCTCCATAAGTACACATAAAACAATGATATGTTCTTAACATTTACAGAATAAATGTACTTTTTACAAGAACAGGTTATTGCAGGTAAATGTGCAATGCAACATTATAACACAGCAACAAGTTCTTACAAAAATTATAATTATCCTTACTACAAAATGGTATTACCACAAATAATATCAAACACTTGTAGCTAAGATAATAATTAGTAACTTCACTTACTGATAATGCCACGTTTAGGGCTTAGAACGAAGGATGGATGGGGATTCTGCAGCGAGTGCTCCCATTACATGCTTATTGCATTAGTGTCCATGTGTAAAAGGACTTCCTGGAACTTAAGGAAGTGGTCATAGCCACAAAGGAAGTTTTTTTTCTCTTTCAAAGTACATTTCAAAATAAAAGCTGCCTTCTAACTGCTAATACATTCCTATTTGTGTTCCATGACACTCCCCGTCTGGCGTCATTAATGATGCCACATTTAGCTACTTCCTCTCTTCTCTTTCCTGTTACTCCCCAGAAGCCAGGAGAAGCACAAGGTCCGAGATAGGCCTTGTGTATGTATTTTTTAGGTTGGTGAGAAGACACTTTTAATGATTATATGCTCTGCTTTTTTTTATCTCAGCAATAGTGGGACCTGTTGGGCAGATATGCCATCCCCTGCAGCTGGGGTTGTCTGATTGTTTGCTGAAACCTTGTGCAATGTGACAGAGACGAGCTGTGCTCTTCGTTAGAGAACTCCAAGATGACAACCGTTCAAAACGTTTTGTGCCAAGCTCCTTTACTGAGACTTTGGTGGAACAAGCCGTAACTATTGGACAGATCTCTACATCTGAATCTGGATCGACCACTTCGAACTGAGGATTGTTGTTAGTGGCAAGATACTTCCACTGACTTGTTGCACCCTATTGTGCACATACACGTAGAACCTTCGTGAGTCATTGCAGATATATCCTAAGACAACTTTGCTATCAGTATAGAATGTTACTTTGTCCAGCTTCTGCACTATTGCTACATGCTTATTGCATTAGTGTCCATGTGTAAAAGGACTTCCTGGAACTTAAGGAAGTGGTCATAGCCACAAAGGAAGTGCCATATCTTTCAAAGTACATTTCAAAATAAAAGCTGCCTTCTAACTGCTAATACATTCCTATTTGTGTTCCATGACAGGTAGATAGGCTGTATTTACACCATAACGGTGCACAGCTGATATAAAGGGACACCTAGTGGTTAAAGCACGTTATTGAATTTGTTTATTTTTATTATTAGATATTAATAGGAAAGTATAAAAAAGTATATTCATTACTCGTTATTCTCTACTAATAGTTAATTAAAGACTGTATATAATGACTATTTTGCACATCCCTTTCAAGATTTCAAGATTTTCTAAGGTTTATTGACATATTATACACAACTACAGTGTAGTTATGCAATGAATGAAAAAAGTGGGTCGCAGGTTCCTCAATAGTGCATTACAAGACATCTATCAATATGTGTGTATACCTCCACCATTAAACTGTCATATTCTGCACATTTCTTATACTATCTACATACATCTTATAAGAGTATAATTAATATGTATAATATCAGTTAAAATAAGTGCTTCAACATAGTTAACATTGCTGGAGGTATACACACATATTGATAGATGTCTTGTAATGCACTATTGAGGAACCTGCGACCCAAGTTTTTCATTCATTGTATAACTACACCGTAGTTGTGTATAATATGATCATTACACCATTACACAACATTAAACAGTTACACAACATAATAGAAATAATATCGATAGCAGCGTCCCTAGCAACCACCTTGGTAACAATGAAAACGTTGTATGGATACACTTTCCTGAAGTAATCTTCGTATTAACTAGCAAACTAAAGATCATGTACATCCACTGCACACATCGTCTGAAATAACAACTCATATTTCTCGCATCAAATGACATCAAAACGCATTTGAAAGGCCAAACTAACCTTAAAATAGGCATTTTCCACCGAGAATAAAACGAAGGACGGCCATGTTTTTTTTTCTTCTGCGGGGAGACATTTAAAGATCACGTGACACGTATCCTACAATTTCAGAGGCATTTTTGTAGAAATACTACGTCCCAAGTTGTGGACCAACGTAGTTATTACACGTTTAGATGTGAGACTGGGTTGGCATGTCATGGAGTGTTATAAGGTATCTGTAGAGCTTTCTGTGAGACAACTTTATTGACCTATCAAGTCTTCAGCAATGGTACATACATACTTCCAGATGCGAGCTTCAACACATACTGTACTACTCAGTATCACTCCGCGCCACATCAGTAACATCCTGATAGTTAATGTGCACGGCAATATATACTACATCCTCCTTTCTTACAATGAAAGTTGCATATCACAATTTATGTAGTAAACACTCTATAACGGTCTCAATATTAACATTGTTCCCTTGATGAATGAAATTATATTTTGTATGAGGGAAGGATATAGCTATATATATATTTACTTTATTTGAACTCCTTTTGTTGCTGTTTTGGAACATTAACATGTCAACTTCAAATCAGTGTATATCACTCCAACATCCTCATATAAACATGAATCCTGTATATAAACAACACATTCACCCTTACTCTTCTCTCTCTCCATTCTTTTTTGTGTGCAAATAGAGCAAGGGGTCTTAACGTGTTAACTCTGTTTTAGCACAACCTTCAACCTGAGCTAATTATGAAATATTTAAATCGGCCACATCTGGTTTTTCTTGTGCTCGGCGGTGATGACATTTCACATTCAACAGTCTCTGATGTGTCTGCATCTGGCATGATGGTCCTCACATAAGTCAGGTTCTGAGTCCCTTTGGGCGTTGTGTGGTGTTTTCCTCAGATTTCTCCTGTTGCGCCTGTAGTGCTGACCTGAAGATGTGATAACATCATAAGAACGTGGCTCGTCTCTCTGTGCAGTGACCAAAGCTGGACGCCAACCCCGTTCAGTCTCCATGTGAACAGTACTTCCTGGTTGCAGCTCAGGAAGCGGCCTCGGTCCTCTGTCATAATACTGCTGCTGCCTCGTAGATTCTCGAGAGTCGAGTGAGCATCCTTAGGCACAGCAGGCTGAAGCACGGTGGAGCTCGGTAAGTGGCTCCTGAGCAATCTCCCCATGGGCATTTGTGCGGGAGAGTATTGCATGCCTGATACAGGTGTGTTTCTCAGCATGAGCAGGGCAATATGAGGGTCTGTGTTTGTTAGTTGTTTGTTTTTAAGAACATGTTCAACAGTTTTTACAGTTCTTTCAGCCAGACCATTGGACTGTGCATAGCTTGGACTGGAATGAGTGAGTTGTATCACCTAAACCCTCAAAGACAGTTGGGTGCTGAGCTATCAGCTCCTCTTTTGTTGTGGGATGTTTCACTTCTAATGAATCAATCTCCACTCTTTTCACCAGGCGCAGTTCTTCACATGCCTCGTTTTCTAATATGGGTATGGAGGAGTGCCTGGATACATAAAATGTCAGACTTGCCTGCGTTTCGGGAGTGGAGCATTTGAGTGTGACCACCCCTTCCGGCTTCAATCTCATCCCTCCATATGCCACCAGCACTGTCTTTGTAGGCTGTAGCTTGAGGTGTGTTCTCCTTTCACGTCTGGCTTTTCGGGTCATCGCTGTGAATACTTTCAGTTGCAGGACGTTGGCCTCTGCTCCTGTGTCCAACTTAAACTTCACACACATGCAGTCAACATTTACATTAGAATGCCACGACTTGTCAACTTTAGACTTAAGCTGATCAATGTTCACTGTCCCAATATATAGGGTGTCTATTTCCGGAGAAACATCATGTACTGTCTTGTGATGATGGGCTTTAGCTAACCTACACATTTTTGCATAGTGGTTCTGTTTTCCACAATTACGGCAGGATACTCCGTATGCTGGATGGCTGGTGTGATTTACCACACGTCTTGTGTACGTTGAATAGGCGGTGTGCGTACCTTTCGTCCTTGTCGACTGGCTTTTAGACTTTTCTTGTGCACTGCATGTACAGACTACTCCTGGGCTGCTGCATTCATAGCTAGCATTTGAACGTTGGCTGTCTCAGCAGCTCTGTAGGTGTCTATGGCCCTTTCTAATGTGAGATTAGGTTCTCTTAAAAGTCTCTCTTTCAGTCTCTGGTCATTCATACTAAACACAATCTTGTTTCTGATCATGTTTTATTTATTCATTTATTTAACAGGGACAGTGCACATTAATTAACTTTGCTGTAAATGTGTTAGAGTTAGCCAAGAGGCTATTTTTCGTTTGTAGTCCCATGTCGTTTTCTGAGGCACCAAATTCACAATCCTTGCTCTTTTGCCTGAGCTCTGTCACATATTTCTCAATCGTGGTGGAACATGACATAGGATGTGCCCAACACTGATGTCTCTCAAACACTGTATTCTTCTTAGGCTGACAATAGGCTCTGAATGCTGCTAGAATATCATCAAGAGTCTTCTTCATCATCATCATGGTCGATGTTTAGCGTGTTGTAAGTGGTGGCTGGTGAATCTTTCTCCAGGGGGGGCTCTACCAAAATGTAAGTAAACGTATACACAAACTCAAAATATGTGTCATATTACAACACAGGGCTAGCTCAAAGGCACCACAGTTGATACAGTCTATTATTTTAGAAAGGACTTGCCTGTTTTTGTCAACCTCCTTATTATGCTTACTGATCCCTATCCATAGCCTTCATTGGACAGCTGTGTTTACTTTCCTAAACATGGCTAGCATCATCCGTGTTGCCTTTTAGAGTTTTCTGATATGTGCTTTAAGTCACTCACATCTGTTTGGTTCCATGCTGGGTCTGGTCCAAAGACTGGTCTGATCCTGACGTTTGAAAAGGGAGGCAGGGGAAGCAAAAATATAGCACTGCTGTTGCTACAGGTAGTTATCCCAGCCTTCTTGCTAAACCAGCTCCTTTGAAAGAGCGTGTATACTGCCTTCCTCTGTCCTCTGTCTCCTGCCTAATGGCCATGTCAGACAGATCAGGTCCGAGCTCTTTTACTCTCAGCTTTTCCTCCAGTGTCATCCTGTGTGTTTCTTTAAGTGATTAAACATAATTTTCCTTCTCCATATTCGCTATCTAGTTTTGTTGACACTCCATCTCCGTCTTACTCTCTCTCATTCAACGTCAATCAATCACTCTGGCGCTCCTGCTGCCCCCTAGTTGTTGGCGGTGTCAACAGCTGTTTTGGGCGCAGTTTGGTGCGCCCCGAGCTGCTCCTATCAATTGCATTGAAGAGGTGCAGACTGCGCATGCACCACTTATAACGAGAGTCAATGATCAAAGATTTCTGCGCCCCGAGCAGGAAACACGTGAGTTATCAGTAACTTTAGACATCCTAAAACAATTTTTATCTATATTTTATTGTAGATTATACATTTTACTGACACCAACTATATAATATGTACCTTGTTAATAAAAAAATTAAAAGTATAAAATTAATTAAAATGTAAGTATTTTTTTATGACAATCAGATAGGGGCGTTGCTCCTAGCGAACAGTAGTGATGGTAATTCAAATCGATCCGTCTCTCTCTTTTTCTTTTTTTCTTTTAAAAGAAAGCGACTCTCTGGGGACCGCACTTGCTAGCTTGGCTTCAGGCTAGCAAAACTCCCATCTGCTTGCCCCCGGCAAAATTACGAACTGGACCGACTTCTGACACCATGTAATAGTCCTTTATGTTGATAATTGACCACATGTCATGGAGTGTAATAAGGTATCTGGAGCCTCAACATGTGGAGGAACATTATGTTCAGCGATGAGTCCAGATTCTGCAGTGTGGAGAAGACGTGGAGAAACTTTGCTGATTGCTGCACCGATAGTTACATCTTTTGGTGGAGGCAGTGTGATGGTGTGGGGCGGCATCTCCCTCACTGGAAAAACCAGGCTTCTCATCATTGGAGGCAACCTCAATGCAGAGAGATATCGAGGTGAAATTATTCAACCAGTGGCAATCACATATCTCAACAGTCTGGGACCAAACTCCTCCTCCAAGACAGAGCGAGGATTATCAGAGACTTCCTCCAGAGTTTGTGAGTGGAGAGGATGGAATGGCCCCCTGCAGTCCTGGTGGATCAGCTTGTGTGTGCTGTCCAGCGTGACCAACACAACCACCTTGGCTGACTTGGTTGAAGAATGGGATGCCATCCCAGAGCAGTGTGTGACCAGGCTGGTGACCAGCATGAGGAGGAGTTGCCAGGCTGCTGTGGCTGTGTTTGGTTCTTATTTATACATTTAACAAGCATAAAGCTTGTTAAATGTATAAATTGTTAATAAATAAATTGTTTCCAATATGTCTTATTTGATCAGACTTCAATCATCCAAATGCAACCAAACAAGCAAATAAAGCTGTTTGGTAATGGCAGTGGAGATTTGTCACATTTTCCATGGGCGCAACCCACACATTCACTCATCCCACAAATGCATGTTCCTCACAAATGTGGTACCATTTGAAAGGTTAATATACATTCTTTCCGACGGTATAAGATGTGTTGCCAAAAAGCATTGTTACAACAAATAAATAATATACCAAACACAAATTTCCTTACTTTTTGTGTTTACATACAGAAAAAAAGTCAACAGATAGCCAGCAACCAGAGCAAATATGTCTTATTTTATATATATATTACACACTTTTTGTATGTTCTTATGAATGAAGATTAAATGGATTACAAAGTAATTAATTATGTTTATGTCATGAATGAATGTGGTGGTCTAACCATTTGGTCAATAACTTGATGGTTTTGTTGATGTATTTATTGGGTCGTCAGCAGTGCTCCAAGTAGGCCTTTTATTTGGGTACCGGCCCTTCTCACCGGCTGCTGGTACTCTACTCAACCCTCTCTACTCATGTTCAATTGACCCTTTTGCCATTAAAGTGAAAAAACTGCTTTAACCAGGGAGCACTAGTGCTGTCAGCAGTTTTTTCACTTCTCAAAGCCGCACACGCACTATGTTGGCCTCAGGTGCTTACATTAGCGTGCTTCAACAACCTAAACTACACCCTCTGTCTATTGTCGGTTTGATGAGAGTGACATCAAACACTTGCGTTACAAGGTAATTGTGTGTGCTAGGCAGTGCGTAAATTAAAAAAGCTGCAACTCTTGTTTTACTCTAGCTAGCCTAACACCGTTATGCAAGTTTATTGCATAGACTGTTAGTGGCATAGTCTGTGGCTGCCACTGCAATGGGGCTTGTATTGTTAAACCATGATGTGTTTTTATTCTGCTGTTTAAGTGGCAGGTCATGTTTTATTCAGGTTGCCTAATGCTTAGTGCACACTGGTTACTTCTAGTTACTCAGGAATGCATATTTAGATTTGTTATTATCAGTTGCAGACCCCAGGTGGTCTCAAAATGATCAGATCAAAAATAAATAGACTTATTCTACTTCCAGATCAGCACCTCATCACAACCCTTGGAGTGCATCATTACAATTTAAGTTTCATATTTTTCTCTATGTATTAACAAGTATTTTTTCTTCAGCTCAGATAAAATGTATTTCAAGTACACTAACTTGTACTTGAGTATGATACTCTTGTAGATCTCTTTCAACTCTGCTGTACAAGCAACACTCTTTGATTTCAGTTGTGAAGGGCTTCATTTCATCTTAAATACATTTTAAAATAAAGGCAGGGCTCGACATTAAGGACTGCCCGATGGCCCGGGGCCATCTAGTATTTAGCTCGGGCAATGAAGCCTCACCTGCTGGTTGCCCGATCGGGCAATCTATTGTGCCAGTATCATGCAGCTCGTGGATCCAGTAATGAGTGACCCGACAGTAAAACTAAACATATCTATAACTAGTTCAGGTAGTTTGAGAGGTAATTAAAATAGCTACGTGTGATATTCTAACCTGAAGTGTGTGTTGTCCGCTCACCGCTGCATGTGATCATGCAGAGCTGCGTGTCGACTCGTCAGCAGCAGCTGATCTCTCTCTCCCGTCAGATTAGACTTCACTCGTGTTTATGTCCATATCGATCAGATCCAGCTAGTTACATTACATTACATTGCATTTAGCTGACGCTTTTATCCAAAGCGACTTACAATAAGTACATTCGACCAGGAAGACACAACCTTGAAGAAAACAGAATCATATAAGTACATCAGGTTTCATAGAGCCAAACATT